TCCTGCCGGTATTGACCTTCCAGTCTAAAAGTTTACCTCTGTTCTGTGCTCGACGTTTGGTGAAGCAGAGCTGTGCTCTGGTCAAACTGCAAATCTGTTTCTTTGCACGGGTGATTCCCCACCAATGGTGTCTTACTTCCATTTATGGCAATGTGTTAACAGCAAGCAAGGTACCTTGGTGAAAGTGGTGTTGATCTGTAACAGGTGGCATAGCTATATGAGCTTGTGCCTGTGTGTGTGTGTGAGAAAGAGTGAGCGAGCAGTGGACTACCTCTGACTTAATGTTCTTTGACCACTGGATGAAATCTAAAACTGTATGCTGCACATGAGAGCCCAAATTAATATCAAACTACAGACCTACAGTATTTATAGCTGCCCTTTAAACAAAGTTTGAGCTGCTGTCAGTATCAGCAGAACACTTTTTCTCAAGTAGATTTCATGCAGTTTATCGGATGGATAATGTAAAATGGCTGCTTTTGAATGACGAGAATCCAGGAGTTTTAGATCAGTTGTTTGGCCAATGAATAACATTCAACATTTGAATCCGAATTCCTGATAACAGTTGGGATTGCTGTGAATTGTTGCTGTCAACTTTCTTGTCTCGTCTCGTGTTGGTATACTGGGGTTGTGTCTTACCCCTACCTTGCTTGAGTTGACATTCCTAACTTTAATGTGACAAAATGAGTTTCAGATCATCCTACCTCTGGTGGGCACAGGTGTAATTATGGTTGATCTTGAACTGTATCTCATCTGATGTTTGCATGTGCATTTATTAATGCAGCAGTGGGCTGTATGGAATACTGCACTCTCTGACCTCCTGTCCTCTACTCAAAGTCGTTGACAGCTTCAGTAATCTAACTGAGATCTGCTAACGGACTCAATTGACCCTGGCATTTTTGACTTATTTGTTACTTGTTGGGAGCATGGCTGGTTTGTGTTGAAGAAAGTAAATAAATATAGGGGTACAAACCAAAACAATGTTATCTATATCAGCTACTTCTTTTAGTTATTTGTTTGTAACTTTGGGAGCTTGTTTTCTTCCCCCATTAAACTTGGTGTCATGTCTGCACATTTAGAGAATGCAGAATAGTATTACATTTGACTGTGTTGCACTGGACTTGTGCAGGAACACTGCATTTCTTTGACTTTGCACTGGTGCTGTTGCTTTTAGAGCAGTGCACACCAGATGCATTGCGGAGCTCTAGTACTTGTGCACATTTGACCACGAGTCACTGGCTTTTAGCAGTTGCTGGATTTTCTGTCAGTCTGGATTTTGCGGTCAATGCCAAATGAAAGGTGCTTGCTGTTCATTACACCTACCCTTAACTGTTTTACACTGGAATTTATGATGATTCAAACAGTAGCATGGAACACTCCACCCGTGACCTGTAAGAACAGAGCAAGCTACTGTGTGTCTCCTTAACCAATCTGAAGAATTCTTGTTGAGATGGATGTGAGTTAATCTTAAGTCCCAAAAATAGATTGGAAAATATTAGGTGAGATGTTTCTTTTAAAAAATAAAATTACGCTCCAGTCTCCAGTCTCTTTTCTGTTGTGTGCAGGTGAGGATAGAGCGCAGACAGCCCACCTACTGTCAGAATATGTTTTTCAATATTTATATAGCCTCCCTTGTCTGTATTTCCCGTTGTGCAAAGATGTCGGTTAGCCACAAGAAATGTTTTCAGCAGACCTGAACAACTTGTGGACTTGCCACTTGTCTAGTCAGGCACTGCAACACATTGTGATGGTGGGTTGGACAACCATGTGCACTCACCCCATCAGCGTCACTAAGTTGAATCCTACCAACCAGTGTCCTGGACAAAATCTGGATCCCAGATATAGCTGCCCTTGGTGTTGATGATCACCTACCTCCTCAATCCCCTCTTCCAACTATTTGTGAAATAAAGTAGAAGATGGGTTGTTTTGTTCTCTCAACAACAATTTTGGTGGGAGTAGAAATTAGAAAATTGCAATCTTTAGGTAAGCAAAAAAAAAATTACTGCTTTGTAAGGACTAGACAGGACAAACACAGGAAGGATGTTCCCAGTGACTGGAATCCAGACCCAGGTTTAAGGATATGGGGTTGGCCATTTAAGGCTGAGAGCGGGAGAAATTCCTTTGCCCAGAGTGTGGTAAGCCTCTGGAATTCCCTACTACAGAAGGCGGTTGAGGCCAAAACATTGAATCTTTTCACTGAATTAGGTATAGTTCTTGGGGCTAAAGGGATCAAAGAGGGGAGAAAGTAGGAACCAGGTACTGTGCTGGATGATCAGCCATAGTTATGTTGAATGGAGGAGCGGGCTTAAAGAGCCAAAAGGCCCACCCTTCCTGTTTTCTATGTTTTATCACTTTTTGCTTTCAGGTAAATATTTTTATTGACAGTGTTTTCCAGTTCTCTCCCCTGTGGTTAGGTAATCTAATGTTGTTCTGTAATCCAGAAAATTATGAAATCCAGAAATATCTTAAGTCCAAAATATTCCAGACTGGAAGGCTTTGTGTGTTGTAATAAGGCTGGGAGGCTCACATTTAGCCTGTATCTTGCAGGTTCAACCTTATCGACCTGGGTTTTTCAGACCTCTTGAAATCACCTTGAGGGAGGGTGAGGGCTGTTATGTGGAAAGTATTAACTACTGTCAGGAGGAGCAACAGTGTTTAGGCAGGTTGCCAAGGTTACCTGCTTACCCTACTCCTCACTTTCAGTAATGCAGCAACAGGTCCTTCCTGTGGAATACTCCATGCCCAGCTAGGAGCTAAGCTGATTTATCAGGTTGTTTCTTGGGCAAGAGTCCTTTTTAAAAAAAAAATGAGATGCACACCGAGTTATCACGCTCTGCTGCATGAGGGGCAAAGCTAATCCTGTCTTGAACCTCTGAGTTCCCTGTTTGAAGGTCTGTCCCTTGTTCAGTAAACTCGCCCCTTGCAATTCTAGGCTGCAGAGCCAGAACCAGGGAGGCTACGTTAGAATAGTTAATTCAACAAAAGATTGTGCACAGAAAAGAAGAGGAAATAGAAAGGAAAAAAAAACTAAATTCTCAGTTTTTAAGTATCTTTACCAGTAATTAAAATCAGGGTACGAATCTCTACATTTGCAAACATTACGTTTCAGCTCATTACATTCATTCCAGAACAGAGACCTGATATTAATTAAGTCTCAACACGTGTTTAAAAGTTCATTTCCATGTAATAGATGAGTTTGGACTTTTTCCAGCGTGTTGGGTGCTCCAGGTGGACAAGCATTACTACTTCATGACTGTCATATGTTTCACTGTAGTTTCCTTGGTTGAGGTACCAGTGTAGGCAGTCTTTTGGAGGATCAGGGCAATTCAGTCAACAGTGCCCAGACTTTGTTTAATTTATTGTGTGTAAATGCCAGAAAAGGCTGGCTGATCCTACCCTTCAGAAACTGAATGTTGAGAGATTCACCTTTGTTTTGCTTTTGCAGCTGGGTTAAAGTGTTTGCTTCACCAGGGTTGCATTGCTACTAAAATTGGTGCAGAAGCTGAGCAGACTGTATTAACCTCTGGAACTATAGTGTGCAGCCTTGGTATTCCTTTTGATCTTCAACTGACCTTTCAGCCTCTCACTCAGCGCTGGACTGTGATTGAGCTTTTTCACCTCTTCACCCTCCTTTACTGCTTGTCTTTGTTTGAGATCACAAACTTTTGGAGCGCTGCTCTTTCGTTTCACCTGACAAAGGAGCAGTGCTTTGAAAGCATGTGATTTCAAATAAACGTGTTGAACTATAACTTGGTGTCATGTGACTTCACTCCCCAGTCCAACACCGATGCCTCCACATCATGTCTTAGTTTCAGCAGTTACCTTACTCATCCACACTTTGAGCAATCAGTTTAGAACTGACCTCCCTACCTCCTGCCTTCAGAACCAAGGCAGTTTCCATCTTGTGAAGGAGGTACAATTTCCGGATAACTTACAAACATTAAGCACAGTTGCAGTTGTATCATTTGGGAATAATCTCATGCTGCAGAGTGTGCTTGGAATCAAAACGCTTCAATTCTCATTTTCATTGTGTTTCTAAGAAGTTTACCTTTCAATAAATTTCACCTTGTGAGTGTTGAATGACACTAAAGTATAGTGGCCTTTCTCCTGTGTGAATATGTATGAACACAGTTTAATTAGATCTTTTAGTGCTCCATAATTTTGGCCCCTTTTACCTCGATTCTGGTCAGATGCTGATAAAGCTGTGATAGTTAAGTTTTCCATGCCTCTAATTTCTGGTTTCATTTTATGTTATTATCTTTTGCAGTAGAGTTACGATGACATAGAAAATGTATTGCATTTCTGCTTGTAGCTTAGAAGTTTGAAACGGGTCAGAGAGTGGACCTGACTAAACACTGCTAATGTATTTTGCTTAAGGAGTTTTTTTTTTCTGTTTAAAATGGAAGCCTTGGGAAACCAAATGCTTTTTGAAACCGGGCTCATTTAAATTCTGGCAACTAGTTAGAGGTGGAAGCTGGTTTTGGTTACTGCTTCTTTACAGCTGTTACATATCTGGACAGTGGCCTTTTAAAGGCAGATGTTATTCTCCAGTTAACTTCCTATTCGTTTGAGTTCCAACCGTCTCATAAATCTGAACGTGTGGTTTCTAGTTTCCCAAAAAAGAAAGGACGGAACTACTTCACTTTGACAACACTTGTTACTTTTACTATGTTGTGCTTTCGGGACAAAATGATGTTGGGCTGCAGATGTCTGAATGTACAGCCTCAGGCTGGTTGGTTGGCATTTACTCTGAGTGTGACAGTCTTGGCAGACTGATACGAGCATTAATCCACTTTGTAGTCAATTTTTATTTTTCAAATTACGCACCTCTTTGTCAGAATTGTGGCAGGAATTGCATCAACTGCTGATGTCACCTTAGTTGAAGTGCATCCCAGAATTTAATTCACTAACTACTGCAGTTTCTTTTCTTTCGAAGGTTGCTTTCAATTGTTTTCCAAGAGCAAACCTCACGAGGACCTGTATGCAGATGACATAGAGGCCATTTGACATGTGTCAGTATGTGTCAGTACATTTTCTGGCAGCATTCTAGCCATGGAGCAATGTTTAAAGTCTGCTTTATTTATTATTGAATTTATTTATTTCTGAATTATTGTGCGGCAAGGCTGCTGTGCAAAAATTGAAAAATAAATTCATGGCTGCTGTGCAATACTGAGATTTTTCTCTGCTTTGAAAGTGTTGGATACTGTGCTTGCACTAGGCAATGGGAGGGAGCATAAATGGTACTTGTATGCAACAATTCTGGGAGAGGTTTCTTCACAGATAACATGGATCACGTGTTTTGTACAATTATCTGTTTTGTGGTGTAGCATTACATACAGATTTCCAGTTTGTGTCTATTAATTGACTGCTCCAAACCAGGACAGTTGCACAAGATTTAATGGCGAACTTCTTTTTACAGGAGCCAATTCATTCATTCTCAGTTGTTGATGGCACATATCTACGGAAGATCCTTAACTTTTTAGTTTTGTCTTCCTTGGTACTTTGCAAGGTGAAAAATATCAGTGTTGGAAAATTTCTCGTTCTTCTGCTTTCGCCATGCAGAGTTAGCAGGAAGCAGTCCATATTTAGTATGCTCCCTCAAGAAGATGCCTCAGAGCCATTTGTTCTGTTTCCCAACTTGTCAGTCATTTATGTAGCTCTGTGAACGAGATTACCCAACACATTCTGAACTGTACGCACCTTTGTATCTCCCAATGGGTTATTCTCATTAGGCACTGTCTAAATTCCTCCTAACTGTACAAGTATGAAAGAAAGTAGGCATTTGTCTATCCTGGATTCTAATTTATTTATGAAACACTGGAAGATCTGTATGCTTTCCTGTTGGTACTCTATTGCATTCCCCCAGTCCTAATTGAGCAATATTTCCAAACAAGGGCTTTGTTTTGCTTCTCTTGTTAGTTTAACAGCAAATGCGTCTCGCCAAGCTTGTCCTGACATCTTCCAAATTAGATGGAGTTGCATAGCCATGTGTTTGTAACTGTTGTCGCTCGAAAGGCAGATCAGAAGTTGGGGCTCAACTGCAAGTAGGCAGGAGCTCAGAATTAGAATTTCACCAGCTCGTGTTGGAGGAGTGGGAATGTGGGAAGGGATTCGTGGAAAGTTATAGTGTTAAGTAACTTTGTGTCAAAAATTGTATTTAAAGACGAGTCTGTGAAAAGATTTAAAAAAAAATGGCAACTTCAGCCTCTCGTATTCTGCTAACTTAAAATCTTAATACAATACTTTGGCTTACGCACTGTTTTCTTAATTTCACAGTCGAAGCATCTGTCCATAGCAGTCATGTCCACTGTACAGATAAGACGATTGAGGCAGCAGAGGCATTACTCCATATGGATTCTTCAACCAGCCTGAGGGATGACAAGAATAGTGGTATGTAACCTCTTTCCCAAGTTTAAAGGTTTACTCTCAAACGTGCAAAGTAAAGTCTATCTTGTACAACCCATACCTCCTCTTTTACCCTTTGAATAAGTTTCAGATTATTATTATTTCATGAATGTTTGTTTGATATGAGGGTTAATGTCCTTTCAAAAGGTAGATCTTCTGGTGCTGAATTATTCTCGCTGCAAAGTTGTTGACATCATTGAAATTCTCTTCTTTGTCAGAAGTTAGGGCAAATTGCTTCACCTGAATTCTGCCTCAGTTGTAATTAATTTACAGAATGTGGCCCATGAGATCAGTCTATAAATCACAGAATTTGAACCGACTGTGCTGACTGCAAAAATCATATTGGAGTCGTATTGAAGAGATTGTATTAAAGTTTGTGGGCACAGTGCACTTTGGTCGTTGGAGCCTTTTCAGGACTAAGAATGTTATTGAGAGAGCTTTTAACTTGCAGTGTGTGTTTTGCAGCAGTTGCCTCGAATAAAAGCTCTTCAGGGAAGATAGACCCAGTGGACTTGGTTTGTGCTCTCATTTGTAACCTTGGGGTCAGAAATACCTAAGGTTTCTATCAAAATTACTGAAATCATCAACCTCATTCAGAATCCATCGTTGGAAAGATTTGGGTTTAATTTTTCTTGTTCTACACTTTTAATTTATAGAGAACTGTTTGTGTCACGGAAATTCTTTCTTCTGTCTTAAAGTCTTTGCTCAGTAGTTAGGCCTTGGTGTGAAATGAGGTCCACGTTTGTTGAGTGTTATTCACGGAGCCCTTGCAATGTAGCACTTAGCCTCAGTGTGCTTGTACTGGAGAGGGAACATTCAATAATTTCCGAAGCCCAAGACTAATGGGGTCGGTTGACAGCTAGTAGCACCTGTTGTCTGAAGAAAGTAAAGCTATTTCAGCTTAAAGCATATCTGTGTTTGAACAGTTTGGAGGAGGGCCGTTGGTGGATTAGTGAGGGCGACTGATTTATTGGCTGGTTGAAGTAGCGATAGAAACATGAATAGACGCAAACTGAGAGGCCCTTCGCGTGATACTTCAATTAACATTTTGGTGGTGGTGTCCTCAAAGATTTGGCTTGTGGTGTCCGTTAGAGCGTATCATTGGATGGTTGGACTGAGGAGGAAGCCAAGAATTTTAATCAGCAAATGCAATTTTTGAAGGAGACATGTCAACATCTCTGAAATCTTTTGCAGATTTCCATTTGCTCTGTGCTTCAGATTTGCTGTGTGGATGCTGATATGTTTTCCTAGGCAGACATGAAGTTCTTCTCTACAAAGAAAAAAGGAACAGGGCTAGATCCTTAAAGCCCACTTCACCACTCAGTGAGATCCTAGTTGATCTTCTATCTTAACTGCATCTTCCAACACTATTCCCGTATTCCTTGACTTCCTTACTATCTAATAATTTCTCAATCTTTGACTTGACTATGTTAAAGTATCGAGTTTCCACAGCATCACTGGGTATGTATTCCAACCCTGTGAGCAAAGAAATTTGTTTCTGATCTCATTGTATGAGGCTGCCCCTTACTGCGAGACAGCCATCTCTAGTTCCAGGTTTCCCTGTCAGGAGAAACATCCACCCTGTTTCACCCATAAAGAATTTTATACTTCAGTCAGATCGTTACTGCTTCATCTAAACTCCAGAATTTGTCTCGTAAGGAAATCTCGTCTGTCCAGGAACCAGTTCAGTTAACCTTTGTTATGCTGTCTCTACATCCTTCCTTCGATTAAACAGTGCAGAATGATGTATCATACTCTGTGTGGTCTGACCAAAGCTCTGTACAATTTCAATAAGACTTCCTTCCTCTCACATACCAATCTCTTTTATAGTAAAAGCTGTAAATAATTGACATTTCTAATTGCTTGCCGCACATTCACATTGTGGTTGACAAAGAAGGATATCGAAGTCCCGATGTATACTGATGTACCACAAACTCAAACCTGTTTGTAAAACAAAACTGATTTCTACCTATCCTACAAAAATTAGTAACTTCACATTTCTCTACATTATATGCCAGTTGCCATGTTCTTGCCCACTCAGTCTGTTTACGTCCCTCTGCAGCCTCTTTGTGTCCTCTTTTCAGTTTCACTTCCTACTTAAGTTTGGATCGTCATGAGTAAGTTTGGATGCGTTACATTTGGTACCTTGCTTGAAGCCATTGATTTGATTAGAATGGTTGACGTTCAAGCACCGATGCTGGTGGTAACCCACTAGTTGCAGCAGTTGTGATAATGGTTCCTGATCTCATATAGCTGAAAATCACTAAGTCTATGTGTTTATATTTGTCAACTGCTTTCAATTATGATTACTACTAATCATTAAACATACTTTAAATACTTTTCTGTTACCATTTTTATCCTAGTTCACTCAAAATTCAAAGTATCGGGTTTTTATTTGGAACTCGAGTAACAATAAATTTATTATTTGCAATGCTTTTTACATCTTAATTCCTTTCTTAATGGCTTTCATTGACAGTCACAGCCTCTCTCAAAAGCTAGTGGTTAAATCTGCTATTTTTCTTGGAGCTGTGAGCTGTATACTCAACTTTATTAATAGAATTACATAGAAATTGTAGCACAGAAACAACCCATACCAGTGCTCTACGAGTCTTCTCTCACCTAATTCAACGAATCCTATCAGCATTTCTTCTATTCCTTTCTCCCTTGTGCAATAATCTAGTTTCTCTTTAAAAACATCTTTGCTATTACTTCAACCACTTCACGTGGTAGGAAGTTTTACATTGTTGTTTGGTAGTACAGACTTTGAGTGTTGCTAAAAAAAGGCACATTTTCTTGAAGCTTTACATCCTGCACTCACTTTTCGCTTTTATAGTAGTGTTTCTTGCAAATTGTCCCAATGAGTACAAGATGAAAAGCTTTGACAAATGTATCTTCTATCATCGATACCCAAGTTCCACACTTTAACAATTCTCTGTGTAAAGAAGTTTCTCCTGAATTCTTCATGGGACTTAACAGCAACTGTTACAATTATGACCCTGAGTAATGGACCCAATCCCCTTCTCGTATCCCCTCAGAAGTGCCAAATATTTTCTCTGTCTCTCCTATCACATGCTTTCATGGTTTTAAAGATGTCTGTTGGGTCAATCCTTAGCTTTCTCTTCCAGAAAGGAGAATTTCTGTCTGTACAGTCCTTAGTACAGTTAAAACCAGACAAATTGTCATCCTTGTAAACCTTTTGTTTTCTGTGCCTTTTTAATGCCAATATGTTCAGAAAATAAGGTGTCAAAAAAACTATATAATACTCCAGTTATAGCCTAAGCAGGGCTGTACATCAACACAACTTCTTTTCTGTTTCTGTAGAAATAAATTCAGGGTCTTTTTTTTTGTGCCATTGTTAATATGCTACTATTTTTAATGTTTGTAGATCTATACCTCAAGATTAGTTTACTTCTACACTCCATTTAAATTGATAATTCTCCTTATTCTTCGTACCAAAATGTGCCATGTTATACTTGTCTACATTGAAATTTAATTTCCTTTTACATCATTCTTCAAATTTGCTTGAATATTGCCAGTTTTTTTCTGTGTTAATTATGCTTCAGTTTGATGTCACCGCAAATGTTTTCTGATTCCAAGTCAAAATCAGCACTAATCCCTATAGCGCATCGATCCTGTCCTTCTGTTGATTGTTCTGAAGGAGAGCCAGGTTGGACTCGAACTGTTAACTCTGCTTCTCTGTCCAAAGATGCTGTCAGACCTGCTGAGTTCCTTGACCATTTTTTGTTTTTAATATTTCCTTCCTTCTGTCAGTCTGAGTAAAACTACCTTTTAGCATCTTTTGTTTGCTGCCTTTTAGCCATCTTGCCATCTGTTATACTATTTGACCTATTCTCTGCTTAATTATGAGTTTACCATGCACTTTACAGTTTAATTATATACTGTATGCTTACTTTTTCAGCATGCATCCAGACTAGCAACTGCATTGATTAAATGCTTTCCTCAAGCCTTTCGCCCTTCTAGCTTTCCTTCAAGTTTTGAAAAACGAGAGCCTGTTTCAGAAGTTTTATTTACGTTGATGATTCAAAAAGCTGAATGAATGTGTCTGCAAAAATGATTTTCTGATTTTAATAAGATTGTACCGCTTCTATTTTGTATCTGATAAACTAGAATATGCATGAAGAGCACTTGGTGTTACCGAGAGTTGATGTCCTCATGTGTCATTTAATTAGTTTATCTCCTGTAACGTCCAACTCGGGAGAATTGTGGCCAGGTGTAGTTCTGAGTTGCAGTGGAGTTGAAGACAATGTTCCTTTGAATGTTTAACTGTGTGCAGTCCCTTTTACCTGTCTATGCGCTGCACTTACCATAGAGAAAGTGTCAGTTATAACCAGACCTAATATCATCCTCATAAATCTTTATTTTTTGTGCCTTTTTAATATCGATATGTCCAGATAAAAAGGCAACAAAAACAAGACACTAGTTGTAGCTTAACCAAGGCCCTATGTTAACACTGCTGCCTGTGTGGAATCCTCCAGGCAGCCCTGGTGCCCAGGCAACTTGTCAGGAGGATTGGTTAAAGGGCACTGGGGATTATTGAATGAATGCCAACGAAGGGCCATTTTACTGGATGGGGAGGTACGTAGGGTGGAAGTGGGAGGCAGTGTTTAATGATAGAGTTGGAAAGATGAAAATGGCTGGGCTAGTAAGATATTCTTATATGGAGAGAGGCTGAAAGCCACTATGAAGAGTGTGGTGCCCTGAACTGGCAAAATTTTTTTGTTAACAAGGGGTATTTAGAAAGAAAGCTAGAAATTCAGAATTTATGTTTTTGTTAAAGTAAAACTTTTCAAGTGTTCAGAAATGCTTGCAAAATGGTGTCAAGATTGGCCAGGGAAGACTATCTGGGCCTGGAACCCTGATGTAAAGAGTTCTGACTGGAATCAATTGCAAAAAACCTCAAGGCCTTTCTTTGCAAAATTCAATCCTCTTATGAGAAGTAAGAGGGGGAAAAAAAAAAGGTTGGTTACAACTTTTAAAAATGCCTACCTTTACCCGTGCAGCCGAGTTGGATTTCTGACTGCGTAAATGCTGGTTGAGTTCTGACACTTTAATTGGGTGCCAGCTTACGGCTGCTCGCTTTACAATAGCAGGTCCTGTGGCGGGGACACCTAGTGGCCAAATGTAGACATTTTAGCATGGCAAATGTAACTCTCTTTTCAAACTAGGAACGTGACAAGTTTATTGACTTTTCATTTCAATCCAATGTACAAGCTTATCAGATATACTATGAAGTTGTTTGTATTAGTCAGAGGAAATTGCCTATATTTTTCCTATTAATATAGAATGCTGAAGGTGATTCTGACGTGACCGAGTGAATCAGTAGGAATCTCGGTCATTATTGTAACAATTGTGCTGTAGTGCACAAAGTGGAGGAGGTGAAAGCACGCATTACTGTAACGCGAGATAGTGGGAACTGCCGATGTTGGAGAATCTGAGATAACAAGGTGTAGAGCTGGATGAACACAACAGGCCCAGCAGCATCGGAGGAGCAGGAAAGCTGACATTTCTTCTAGACCCTTCTTCAGAAATGGGGGAGGGGAAGGGGATTCTGAAATAAATAGAGGTGGGGGGTGTATGGAATATGGATAAAGGAGCAGATAGGTGGAGAGGAGACAGACAGGTCAAAGAGGCGGGGATGGAGCCAGTAAAGGTGAGTGTAGGTGGGGAGTTAGGGAGAGGATAGGTCAGTCCAGGGAGGACGGACAGGTCAAGGAGGCGGGATGAGGCTGGTAGGTGGGAGGAGGGGATAGGTGGGAGGAAGGACAGGTTAGGGAGGCAGGGACGAGCTGGGCTGGTTTTGGGATGCGGTCGGGGGACGGGAGATTTTGAAGCTTGTGAAGTCCACGTTGATACATTTGGTCTGCAGGGGATTCACCAAGCTTCAAACTCCCCGCCTACACTCACCTTTACTGGCTCCATCCCCACCTCTTTGACCTGTCTGTCTCCTCTCCACCTGTCTGCTCCTTTATCCATCTTCCATCCGCCTCCCCCTCTCTATTTATTTCAGAATCCCCTTCCCCTCCCCCGTTTCTGAAGAAGGGTCTAGACCCGAAACATCAGCTTTCCTGCTCCTCTGATGCTGCTTGGCCTGCTGTGTTCATCCAGCTCTACACCTTGTTATCTCATTACTGTAATCCATTGGTTCCAGTGTATAGCAATGACAGTATCCCCACCTTGAAGATCTTTCATTGTTCATGTTTTTGATGCTGTTTGTATTTGGGATCTCTTGGGTCTCAGGTCATTAGAAATTGCAAAATGTGAAAAATAACCATACCTCTTAGGTAATTAAATATGTCAATAAAATGTCTTAACCATTCTCTGATTCACTTGGCAATGTCAGAATCTCCTTGAGCCTTGTATGTTAATAGGAAAAATATAGGTAGTTTCCTCTGACCAATACAAACAACTTTTATAGTATATCTGATAAGCTTGTACACTACATTTGCATCACAATCGCTAGAAGTAATCAATAATGGAACATTTTATTGTGAAGCTCTCATGTGGGATCCATGTATGTCGTGTTCAGTGATCACTTTCATTAACCAAGTTTAAGACTGAATCACTTTATTTTGTCACTTTGTTGTCTAAAATGGGGGGGGGAGGAAAAAACCTGTTTATTTTAAAGTGAAGGAATTGTGCTCTCGCACTCTCTTTCTCTCTCGCTCGCTGTCTATTGTGATTTCGATGTTACTTGCTGTTTCGTGCACTCTCGCCCTCGCATTCCCTCTCGCTTGCACGCTCGTTCTCATGGTGACTTTCGCTCTCCCTCTTGCTATCTCCTGTTCTTGCTTTCTCTCCCATTCTTGCAGTCTTGCTCTTTGTTCTCTCACTCTCTGTCATGTGTTCACCCTGTCAAACTATTCCAGTTCTCTGGGAGGTTTCTAGTGGGTTGGAAACCTGCTAAAGTCATGCCTTTGTTCCAGACAGGAGGGAAATTGGCCAATCAGCCCAATATCTGTTATTGTGAAACAGTAGATTTTTATTCAGGAAGCAATAGCAGGCCATTTAGAAAAGCTTAACGCAATCAGAGTCGGCATGGTTTTGTGAAAGGGAAATGCATTTTGACAAATTTGCTTGAGTTCCTGAACGATATGATGAGCACAGTTCATGAAGGGGAACCAGCAGGCGTAATCATAGCTTCCCTACAGCATGGAAGCAGGCTGTTCGGCCCATCAAGTTATCACTGACCCTCCGAAGAGCGTCCCAGGAAACCCCCCACCCCCCACTCCCCACTTCCTATTCCTGTACCCATCCATTTCTCATGGCTAACCCACCTAAGCCTACACATTCCTATGAACTATGGGCGATCCATCTAACGGGAAACCAGAGGAGAACGTGCAAACACCACATGGATTGAATTGAACCTGGCACCCTGGGCGTTGTGAGGCGGCGGTGCTGACCATTGAGCTACCATGCTGCCCAAAATGTATTAGGATTTTTGGAAGACATCAGTAAGGTGCTGCAAAAAAAAGGTGATTGCTCAAGATGGGAGCTCCTGTTTTACCACCCATCGCATCCCCCCCCACAACCCTGTTGCTGCACCAGGATCTTTTACGTGTATCCGAAAGGTGCAGGCAGGTCTTTGATTTGACAACTTTTATAAAAGCAACAACTTTTGCCTCTGTATTGCTCCCTCAGGACTGCATTGAAGTATCTGCATGAGTGAGGCTTGAACTCTCCAGTTCCTTTCTTGCAGATCCTAGGTGAGGAAGGAGGAGGTTAAAGACGGATTCTTTGCAAGTGAAGTTGAAGTGAGGATTGATTAACTTGCAGAAGGCAGAGAGTCAGGTTTAGTGGCCCTTTTTCAGGTTTAAAACACTTGTCCAGTGCCACAAGGATCAGTCCTCGAGCCTCAGTTATTTACTATCTCTCTTGCACTCTGCCATTAATATAACCAAATTTGCTGCTTAAACATAAATAGCTCAGAGGTTAGGCTGTGATGATGGTAAAAGGTTATTTGTGAGGGGATGTAGATAGGTTGAGTGAGTGGGCAGAAACTCGGCGAATGGAGCTTAATGTATAAAAGCATGGTAGGAAGAATCAAAAAGCACGCTCATTTAACTTGGAGAGAAACTCCCAAAAGAAGTGGAGAGAGTGTACAAAATTAACATGGATGGTTGTCCAAGGCCAGAATCGAACCTGGATCCCCGGTCCTGTGAGGCAGTAGTGCTAACCACTGTGCCGCCCCTTATTAAAATAACCTTCAAATAGGGAGCCCTCAGTGACAGGAGACTTGACGGGCACTGCAGCTGAATGGGTTGAGGGCTCCCTCTGTAGTTGGAATAACAACAAACGCAGCCCAGAATACAGCAAGTACCAATTAGAGTTTGATACTAAACTTCCCTTCCAGGCCACAGTGCTGTTTTTCCCATTTGTCTGATTGCTGAACAATGGTTAAGTTGCTTAAACATGTTTATGTGACATTAAGCACAGACCTACATGATTTACTTTTGTCATGCAGGTATCCAGGTTTGACTCTGTAGAAGTTGTGGATAAAATATTTAGTTAAAGAGAAGGCTTTGGGGCAAAGCATGTCTATATTACTGGGAGCCAATCCTCATTTGAAATTGTTTGACAACATTATGTATACTCACAGATCTCATTGATAGGGAAGAACGTAATAAAAAAGTTTTGCTGGAAGCTTCCGCGACACTTGAGGGTGCTGATGGATTTAGAAGTATATAAAACAAAAATCAGATGTCATCTGTTGGGCACATTTCCTGATTTGCATCTGTAGTCTTGAAGTACGGAGTGTTTCTGAGATGATACTTGCTAAAGTTTTTGAAGCCCTTTCACCAAACAAGAATTCGACTCCTGGTGACTTGCAGCAGCTCCGCTGTGTAATTAAGGTGAACGGTCAGCTTACACACACACACACACACACACACACACACACACACACACACACACACACACACACACACACACACACACGCCTCAGCAACAGAATGATGTTCTATGTGTTACGGTATAATGCTTGTGTGGCTTTAAAACTGCATATTCTGTTTACTAAGAAATGATTGTAATCTTGGCTTATTGCTTCTGAATTGTAGCCAGGATCTGATAGTTTCGTTTTTGTCAAAGAGTTCTGGATGATTACAGGATGTTGATAGGGAGATATTGCAACAAAACAGTGCTCAGTATGTAATGTATGAATAATGTCAGAAGACGAGCAGATCCCTTGCAGTATTTTTGAGTAATACATCTGTTTACTGTACAATTCTAGGTTTTACACTGCCTACTGAATGATATATTCTGTTTCTGCATACGTTTTGCTCATTTTTTAAAATAAAACTTCTCCTGCAAATGCTTCCTCTCTTGCCTCTTTCCTCTCTCTCTTTGTTCTTCCCCCTCTCTCATTGCTGCACCAGGATCTTTTATGTGTATCCGAAAGGTGCAGGCAGGTCTTTGATTTGACAACTTCTACAAAAGCAGCAACTTCTGCCTCTATTGCTCCCTCAGGACTGCATTGAAGCATCTGCGTGAGTGCGGCTTGAACTTTCAAGTTCCTTTCTTGCAGATCCTAGGTGAGGGAGGAGGAGTTCAAAGACGGATTCTTTGCAATGAAGCTGCAAAGGGAGGAATGAGAAACCATTGACCAGGTTTAATAGGTAGAAATGGAACTAAACCAGGATAATGGAGGAGAGGCATTGGAGGATGACTATGTGGTTGATTTTGGCCAAAGGCTGCAGAGCAGCCAATTTACTTTTTAAAATTGTTAGTTTTGAACAGGAATCCATCCTGCTGCTGGTGCATTCTATTCTAGTTGGTTGGAACAGTTTTCCTCAATTAGAGGGACCTGCTCCTGGTTTGCAACTGCATTTCATGAAGATTGAACCCTCTATTTTGAAAGAAGGGAATTGCATCTATTCCACACTTTAACATCCTCTAGACTTGCTAAAATACTTCATGTTCAATCAATAGTCAGCATTGAGACAGCAGAGAATCCCAGAGAAATCATTGCGGCAAATGGCTGGCTATTCTTTCTTCTGTTTACCATGCCTCACTTAGCTCAAACAAAAGACTGAGGGAAATCTGTTCCTCTTTGAGCCATGTCATGGCATTTTCGAAGGCTAATTTGGAGTTATTGCAAAGTGTGGCTTAATGCATCACCCAAAGAGAAAGCCACAGGCATTACAGAGAAGTGTCAGCCTGTTTTTACATGCTCATGTTTTGGGAGAAACATGAACCCATAACCTTCTGACCAGTTAAGTTTAGTTGCTGACAAGCTGATAAGTAATTAATTTTGCCTGCAGAACTTATTGGTCTCAGAAATAGATTCTCTAGATTCTGGAACCGTTACCTACAGACTGGAGGATTTCTAGTGTAACTCTACTGTTTAAAAATGGAGCTCGAGAGCAAATGGAATCATAGACTGGTTAGCCTGATAAAGGGAAAATGCTAAAAGTCCAGTATAAAAGATTTAATGGCAGTTTAGTTGGAAAACCGGGACAGAATTGGACAGAATCAGTGTGGATTACAACAGGGAAATCATGCTTGATAAATCTACTAGAATTTTTCAAGGATGTAACTAGTAGGGTTGATAAGGGAGTGCCAGTGGATGTGGTTTACTTGGACTTCCAGAAGGGTTTCGCTAACGTCCTATATAAGAGATTAGCCTGAAAAATTAAAGTGAATGGATTGGGGTAGGGTACTGACATATATACAGAACTGGCTGGAAACAAACGAAGGAATAAGTGGGAAGAGGGTACTGAGGTGGATTTTAAGCCGTAATTATGTTGAATTGCAGATCAGGGTCAGAATACCAGAATGGCCTACTGCTGCTCCTCCTTCCTATGTTTCTGTGACACTCTGAATTGATTGCGCTTTTAATAGGGGGATAATTTGATTCTGAAATGTTAGTTCTGGGGGATGTACTCTGAGGCACTGAATTTCTATAATAATTTCTATTTTGACCAATTGTTGCAGATGAACAGCATCACTGAGGTGATGCCAGATTGGCTGCATGTAGTCTAGGTCAGGTTAAAGTAACTGTGGCATGCTAGCCTGTTTGTCAAAGCACAGGAGAAGGATAAGGAGGTGTACCTTAGGGAGATTTGTGGAAAAGCACGAGGGAAGAGGCGGAGGATTAAAGAAAGTTTTTAGCTTTATTGTTTCCTTTCAGTTTAAAGAAAACACTTGGAATTGATTAGTTGTTGAGATCAATCACTTGCACATCTTTAGTTAATTGATTGCTCCCTGCCCAAATAAGCTATCATTTTGGAGCATGTCTCCTGTTGCAATCACGTACATAAAGAACTTGCCCAGATTGCTTGAGTGAAACTTAAAACCTCTTGTTAACTGTTTTTAAGCAATTTAATTAATTTATCATTGTTTTGCATGAATCCTGTGAAATTAGCAGTTTATTCATTTACTCAGCCCCGAATTTTCCAAGTATTTTCAGTAATTTTGCAGACATTGCATGGCATATCGTCATGACTGAGCTGCTAATCCTTCTGTCTTTTAGCCAAGTTATTGTGTGGTCAGTTGAAATTGCATAAAAGAATACTTTAAAAGTTGTCCTTTACATTAGACGATTGAATTACAATGTTTCAGCGCGAGTTTATTGTTTTCATCAGCTCTTAACAACATTTTGAGCTTCTTAAGTCACATTGTATGTTTTTAAAACAGTGTTTTATCAATTTGTATAATGTTGAGCTGTGGATATGCACCAGTCTTGGCTTCCAAAGTTAAGATTTATCTATCAATGGGCACGACCACAGAGAGAGCAATAAAGCAGTTAGCTATGAGACATTAAAATTTTCAATTGGGTTTGTTTTTGAGAGATCTCACTTTTTTTCTTAAATGTTGTGTGCAGACAAGTCTACAATGCCATTAACCTCCCTGACTTGCAAATCAGCAAACTGCAATTCCCCTTTTGATTTGATTAAATTACTTGATTTAGACTCCTACTCCTTATTGCTCGAACTGCTCTTTCAGGATTAAGTAACATGGTTTAGACACTATTCCACTTTAGTCTTGCTCCTTGTGGATTGATCAGTGCTTGAGGTACAAGCCAGCATAAAATGATACTACCTGGGAACCTGTGATGAATGTAAAGAGATATTTTTGCTCCACTTAAAAGGTGAGACCTCCTATACCCAATTCCTTGCTGCTTTGAGGCAGTTTATGATTATTTAGGAAACGTTTTGGATTGTAACAAGGAAGGGCATTGATTTATCAAAGACGGAGGTAACTTTGTTGGAAAGTGTACCGAGTTGAGTTGAGTACTGGGTATGAAATGTGCTGTGTCTTTAAGGCCATTTATTTTTATTTAAAGGATATCAGTAAGGTATGAATAACAAAATCTTCACCTTTGTTAAGTTTAATCTTTGAAACTTACTTGTGCAGTCCAGGTATTCGTGCCCCCCTGTGTGTCGACCCCAGAATTTGTCCATGCTGCCATGAGGCCTGATGTGATCACGGAGACCGTCGTGGAAGTGTCGACAGAGGAGCCTGAGCCCATGGACACGTCTCCTGCGTTACCAATACTAGAAACCCCAGAGCCAACCAAAAAGAAGAAAGGTACAAAGCACTTTTTCAACATTGCAAGTAGTGAAATTTCCAACGAGTATCTGGACATTATCTCGAACAGGGCATGTTATCTGCAGTTTCTCGACAGTTTACACGTTTGTCTTCCTGAAAACATTTTAAGCTGAAAGTGATTAATACATGTAGTTTTGAACTCAGTAACATATGATATGATTTTTAAAAAAAACCCCTCTCTTTATTGGTAAGATTCCTTTGACAATTTTCAACTGACTTAATCTCAGCTGCAGGCCATAATGTTAAATTACCCCAGACTGGCATCATTTGACACTGCATTGAGTGAAATTACCAATTCAGTTGGCTGGTACAGGGAATGAAACTGTCTGTATTAATGCATTTTGAGATTTGCAATGAAGGTATAGTTAAGAGACTTTCGTGAGACTTCTTTACTCTATATCTGGCATCTGCAGAGGGTTAATTTTTCTTTTTGAGACTATGTATGAAAATTCCAGTCCCCAACATTGACATTTTGGATGCAAAAATTGAACAAAATATTCTTTTGCAAATGAGTACTTTAAGGTTAAAATGTGGTGCTGGGAAAGGCTTTTGAGTACTGATCTGCTGTCAACTACAGGGATGATTGATCGAGCCATCCATCTGGGTCTTTTGCTGCTGTGATTTTCAATGCGTTGTGATTGACAAGTCATGTAGCTTTAATCTATTTTGACTTGCCTGCCCAATGATCTTGACTTTAGATCAAAATTCTACCCCCTGAATGTGGATGAAGGTGTTGTCTTGTCTGACAAGGAATTAAATGTATGAAAAGACTCCCTGGTTTAATCCCCAACCTGTAAATCTTTGCTACTATCTGTCAAGGTAGGAGTTGAAATGCCACTGTTGGGTTTTGGGAGGGAGCTTGATGTCCTGCTAGAAAGTTTGCACCCAAATGAATGTCAGGCAACACTATGCTGTTATAATCCCAGAGACAGTAAGAACTGCAGATGCTGGAGTCAGAGATAACAATGTGGAGCTGGAGAAACACAGCAGACCAGGCAGCATCAGAGGAGCAGGAAAGTTGACGTTTTGGGTCGGGACCCTTCTTCAGAAAATCCCTCAGCCTTCCTGCTAAATCAGCTTTGAACACAGTTTCGCTTGGGCGCAACGTAAGGTACTGCAGGACTGTTTATGCCCATAGAGTTGAGTTTTAGTTGAAGTCTGTTTCCATTTTCTTTCAGGGATTGAGAACTTGAGAAACAGTGGGGTCTAAAATGCCTAAGAATTGGGAATTTGGGAAATGGGTGTTTTTTTCCCCCCCCCCTCAATTTGAGGCAAGTGCTTACAAGGCAATTTCACTGAAATTTTAAGTAATTTACTGTCAGGCTGAAGCCAGAATCAAATTAAGGTACTTTTTAAAAAAAAAAGTATCATTTTTTCATTTTATTAATAGAGTCGCCCTTTCAGCACTAATTCAAAATCAGCAGTAGCAAAACCACAGTCTGCTACGTTTTTTTTTGTTTGTAACCGGCCCATTCCTTTTTTGTTTGCAGCAGTTCAACTATATAATTGAACTGGGGCCAGAGTTGCCCTTTTCACTAATTTAGTGAGATTTATAGTAAACGAGCATTCCAATGTGTCTTACAGCTGGTCGAAAACCAAAGAACCAGCAGTCTGAGTTGCCTAATAGTCCGTCGGAACTGTCTGTGAAAAAGAAGGCTAGAGAAGGGAAGGGTAAGTGTAGCTGTCAAAAGGCGAATTCCCACACTGTCAAAACCACGGCAGGGGAGAGGGCGTGAATTCTAAGGATTTTGCACATTTCAGCAGATCAGGAAATTGATGGGGATGAACCTGGTTGAAAGTTCACCGCCAAACATTTAAATCCAGGTGATATTTTTGGAGGCGAAGCACTGTACCATCTGTAATCACACTAATGCGCCAATGTTAAGTTAATCACTGGTAGCTTGTTAGTGAGGTGACGGGAATGGTTTTCTTGGTATAAGACTACAAGCTGGGCAGTAGGGTCACCCACACTGAGATTAGAGATGCTGGTGTGTTGGTGAACCTGTATAACTAGTGAAATCTCTCTTTTCCTTGTGGAATTTATTTAGCTCAGCTGCCTGAAATACACTATCTTAAACCCTTCTGGCGCTTTTCACTTGCACTGGTTTTGCATTTTAATTGCTGGAAGATGTGGCTGTTGCAGAATGTCAACGCACATAACCGATAGGCGGGGACATTTATCTGCTGAAACTGAGCCAGGCAAACTCTTGGCTTCCATTCTCGATCTGGACTGAGTTTCTTCATCTCAGTCCATGCTGTTGTGTCGACAGGGTGAATGGACTCCGTTGGCCTCAGTGCCCAGACATTGGGATTGGACAATTGGCTGTTCGGTAGCTAATTAGCAGCCTCTGCTAAAAGTGGACAGTAGAACAGCGTTGCAGTCCTTTTGCAGTCAAATGGTTCACTAATGCTCATTGTTCAGACTCTCACCTGAAGTAAGGCCATTTGTCTGAACGTACTCCACCCTCCCCAAATCCCAGACTTCTATCCCAGCAAGGAATCTAGCGCTTGGGAGAGAAAGCTAATGGGCTCACAGACCAATTGGCAAGAGGTGGGGTGTTACTGGGCACAATCCCATTTGCTCAGAGGAGAAGTCATGTGCATGAGAAGCGAATAATATTCTCCTGATTCAATTGAATTAAAGCCTGTTCTTTCTGGGAGGGAAAGAGGGTCAAATCAGTTGTTTCCTTACAAGTCCCTTTGTGTTCCTAATTCCTCCAGAGTTGGGTGGCAAAAGATGGGAGTGAAATTGCTAGAACCATGCAGTGACTCAGGGCATTCCCTGGAAGGGAGAAGCTTAAAAACAAATTTGTGAAGGATGCTGAACATCATAAAAAGGTTTATTTCGATTCGGTGAGTTGCAGCTGCAAGGTGGAAGCTCATCACTTGAAAAGCAAGGGAAGGATTTTTTTTTTGCACAGAAACTTTTTTACAGTGAGCGTGGATTTAAAGACAAAGAAATTTTAAAACTAATGGGCAAAAGCATGAAATGGGCCAAATAGTCCCTCCTGTATTGTAAATGCCCATGGTCCCTGCTAGAAAGTCCTGTAAACTAAGAATTGAGAATGAGAGCACCATTAAAAGTAAATGGTCAAAGAAGGAAAAGCAACGTGAGGAAAAGATTTTTGCCCAGTGAGTTATTAACATCTGCAGTGCATTGCCCAGGAGTCTGTCGGAGGCAGGTTCAGTCAAGGCATTCGAGAGAATTCGACAGCTGTCTGATGAAGATGAATGTACAGGGTCATGGGGAGCAGACAAGGAAATCACATGAGAGTTGCATTGTTGATCCAGAACTGGTATAGGCACGATAGACTGAATGGCCTCCCTTGTAACAGTTCCACATGATGAGTTAGAAATTCCACATGCAATTTCCTGTTACAGTTGCCATTTAGGTTCACCCTAGCATAAAGACTTTGAAGGTAGGTACCTGAGGGTGACAGTGCTGTGTAACCAAACAACGTATAGGACAAAAGCAAAATACTGCAGATGGAAAATTGAAACAATCAGAGAATGCTAGAGAAACTCAACGTCTCTGGCAGCATCAGTGGAGAGAGGAAATAGAGTTGATATTTTGAATCTGGTATGACTTGTAGAAAACTGAAGAGTTGTACCAGACTCCAGCAGAATTAACAGATGCCTTTGGGAGAAGGCAGGAGGATTGGAATTTAGGCAAATCATTTATTGCTCTTTTATATGAACTTTAAAAGATTGTACTTTGTCCTTATCCTCAAGATTATAGTTGATTTTAAATGGAAGAGCCCTTTAATATACTACTTTTACGTTGCCATTTAAATAAAATCTAACATTTAGCAGAAAATACATATGATCCAGCCCTTAGCATTACAATCTTCACTTACCTTGAAGGCCATGCCGAACCTATTTGGTGGTCCCTTTGCTCTTCCCTAAAGTCTGTCTGTCTTACATATCCCCAGTAGTCAGGTGAGTCTTTCCAGCTATTTCAAGTGTCTTCTCCACTGACACTTGTCAGCTTGGGCCAAGCAGGTGAGGAATGGCTGCCCCTTGCTCATTGCCTTCTCTCTCAGCAGATATTAGCCATTCAGAGGGGAAAGTGAAAGGGAACTTAATTTTGCATTCCACTGTTTTCAGTTTGTTCATCGCTGAAACTGTTTGCTGCCTTGCACGTGAGAAATGTTGATGAATAATGTGCGCTTTATTCCTGCTTAGCTACTTCATGTGCCATTAACTCTTGAACTTTGCACTTGTCCGAAGTGTGCCACGCATATTCTGCTGTGTTTTGCTTCCCCAGGGAACACTACTTACCTCTGGGAGTTCCTTCTCGACTTACTACAAGACAAAAACACCTGCCCACGGTACATCAAGTGGACTCAGCGGGAGAAGGGCATCTTCAAGTTGGTTGACTCGAAGGCAGTTTCCAAGCTTTGGGGCAAGCACAAGAACAAGCCAGACATGAATTATGAGACCATGGGTAGGGCACTAAGGTAACAGCACGTTTATAAAAAAAAAATCAGTAAATCAAATGTAACCCACAGTAGTCATTGAATTTACAACCTTGCAGAATTTATCTATTTCTAAAAATAATGCCTTGGTGTAAAGATAGATTTCATTGTACAAATTAGTTTTCTGAGCAATTCTAAAGTGAAAATTTGTTTTCTAATAATGCCTTGGTGTAAGATAGATTTCATTGTACAAATTAGTTTTCGAAGTAATTCTAAAGTGAAAATTTGTTTTTTTCAAGTGAACTTTGCTACTGAAACAAAAAGTTTGATTGGGATTCTCTTGGTGAAATGCCTTGCAGCATGTGTCCAATCAAATTAGCTGTTCACGACTGTGTTTGGAGGAAGGGAAATCTACATGTTCATAATCTGTTTGTAAAATGAGATGATTTAATGGTCTACAGAAAATATTAAATATCCACCTTTTAATACTCTACCTTTTAAAAGAACAACAAAACTAAGTGTTGTGGTTGTATTAACTGATGGCTTGAGCAGAGAATTGTGGTGCTGAATTGCTGTCGTTCTACCATCATAGTTAAGGACATCAGAAGCATTGTATGTCTACTTTAAAGATGTGCTGTAGCTTGAACGTACCTATCCAGGAGAACAATGTGCTGTGACATAAAGGAAAGCCAGCTGCTGATTCTGCCATATTGAATTCATTCATCACATCTGTATCTCTTGTGCAAAGACTTTTATTCTCAACTGACTTGAGCATATCATGGTTTGTTATATTGGCATCTCAAGCTATTTCTAGCCCATTGTAACTTCGCCTTCTCCATGTGAGAAAGCTGCCCTGCACTTTATTTGCACTGTGCTGGCACTGGATTGCATTTGGGGAAGGGACACAAAAGTTGCTACATTGAAAAGAAGTGTAGGTTGTTATGTAAGTTTATACTTTAAGTAGATTGGTTCACTGCAAGATACTTTGGAAGATGAATTGTCTTTTTTCATCTCATCAAGGCTAGAAGAGAATCTTTTAGTTTAGATATCGACAGCTTGGTTCAGTTGAATCTCTTAATCTATATTAAAAGTGTAGGGGCATTCTAAAGGGAGAAATCAGGAAGGCAAAGAGGGGATACGAGATAGCACTGGCTGATATGGTTAAGAATAATCCACAGAGATTCTAGAAATACATAAAGAGCAATAGGGTAACTAGAGAGAGGATAGGGCTTCTTAAAGATCAAAGAGGTTGTCTTTGTGTTGAACCCCAGGAGATGGGACAAATACTAAATGAATATGTTGCGTCAGTTTTTATTGTGGAGAAAGAAATGGAGTCTGGGGAAATAGGCTTTGATGTTTTAAAAAGTTCACATTACAGAAGAGGAAGTTCGTGCGGTGTTGGAGAATATAAAGATGGATAAATCTCCGGGACCTGATCTAATGTATTCCAGAATGTTGTGGAAAGTAAGGGAGGAAATTACGAAACCCCTTGCAGAAATACTTGCATCATCTATAACTATGGGTGAGGTACCTGATGACTTGAGGGTGGCAAACGTTGTGCCTTTGTTGAAGAAAGGTTGCAAGGAGAACCGGGGAACTATAGACCTGAGAGTCTGACTTTGGTTGTGCATAAATTTGTTGGAGGTGATTATAAAAGATTGGATTTATGGATATTTAGAGGCAAAAATTGTTTAAGATTAGTCATCATGGTTTTGTGCGAGGAAAATTGTGTCTCACAAAATTGAGTTCTTTGAGGAAGTTACCAGAAAGATTGATGACAGAGCAGTAGACGTTGTTTATTTGGATTTTAGTAAAGCCTGTGACAAGATTCCACATGGTAGACTAATTAGTAAAGTTAGGTCACATGGAATTCAGGGTGAGTTTGCTAATTAGAAACATAATCGGCTTAACGGCAGGAGACAGAGAGTAATGGTGGAGGGCTGCTTTTTGGACTGGAGGCCTGTTACCAGTGATGTTCCACAGGGATCAGTTCTGGATCCTCTTTCGTTTTTCATTTATATAAATGATTTGGATGAGAATACAGAAGGCGTGGTTAGTAAATTTGCGGACAACACCAAAATTGGTGGCATAGTAGGCAGTGAAGAAGGTTTTCTAAGATTACAAAGGGATCTTGATGAAATGGGTCAATGGGCTGAAACATGGCAGATGGAGTTCAATCTGGATAAATGCGAGGTATTGCATTTTGGTACAACAAACAAGGTTAAGGCTTATACAATTAATGGTAGGGCCTTGAGTAGTGTATAGAACAGAAAGACCCAAGGGTTCAGGTAGATAATTCTTTGAAGTTTGCGTTGCATGCAGACAAGATGGTTCAAAAGGCGTTTGGCCCACTTGCCTTCGTTGCTCAGTCCTTTGAGTATAAGAGTTGGGACGTTATGTTGAGGTCGTACAGGGCATTGGTGAGGCCTTTTCTGAAATACTGTGTCCAGTTCTGGTTGCCCAGTTATAGGAAGGATATGATTAAGCTGGAGAGGGTTCAGAAGAGATTTACCAGGATGTTGCTGGTTATGGAAGATTTGAGTTATAAAGAAAGGCTGGGTAGGCTGGGACGTTTTTCACTGGATCGTTGGAGGTCAAGAGGCGAACTGATAGAAAGTTTATAAAATAACGAGAGGGAAAGATAGTTAATGGTAGTTGTCTTTTCCCTAGGATGGGGGATTTCAAGACTACAGAGTATAATTTTTAAGGTGAGAGTAGAGAGATTTTAAAAAAGACACGGGCAAACTTTTTACACAGCGGGTGGTTCGCGTGTGGAATGAACTTCCGAGGAAGGTGTGGATGCGGGTACAATTATAACGTTTAAAAGACATTTGGATAAGTACGTGAATAGGAAAGGTTTGGAGGGATGTGGGCCAGGAACAGGTAGGTGGGACTAGTTTTTAGTTTGGGATTCTGGTCAGCATGGACTGGTTGGACCGAAGGGTCTTTTTCTGTGCTGTATGACTCTGGTGATGGGAACAGGTTACCAATCTACTCTTAGTTGTGAATGGCATGGGCAACCTGAAAAGGGGAAGAAAGCATAATGTTTAGAAGATTATAGTTTTTCTTCAATAGAATTGATAAGTAAATTTCTGGCAGATTGGGCTGTTCTTTGTTTTAAACATTGGAATATCAGTTAACAACGTTCCAAAACTAGCACCCTCACCTGAGGCCATATGGGTATTCAGAGAAAAATATCAAAACCTTACTTTGATTAATAGTGGTGTGAGGAACTTATTCACTTGACTTCATATTAATAAAAGCTTTAAAGAAAGATACTTAATAGTGAAGAGGAAACGGTTGAAGATGCATAAAAGGCTAAGTAAGGCTGTGCTGGATTTGGGACAAGCCAAGGGTTTGGGTCGTTGAGTTGGCTTCAAGATTGCTCAGTGAATGGGAAACGCATGGTGTTTGAAGATGGTAACTAGTCCAGCATGTCTCCTTGGCAACATAGCACCTAACTGAATTGTCCTGTTACGTCAATTTACTCATTTAATAACAGTTAAAATTGATAAATGGTAGATTATAGAAGTCTGGTTTTCAGCCTGTTTTGCAATACTCTATTAAGAGGTGTCACTTTGAGTCACTGTAATTAAAACTTGGAATATAGATTTCTTAGCAGTTCTGGATTTTGGGTTGAAAGTGCTCCATTTGGTTCAGTAACTTCAGTAATTCTACAATTCTATCATTCCTAACATTTTACTTACGCACAATTTGTATCTCTGTCCAACGATAAGATATTTTATGGATTGTGATAATGTTTGCGTAAATTTTGGCACTTCTAATACTTTGTCTAAATTATTATGCTTTTTCGAGTCCAGATGACATCACATTTATTCAATCAATAGCTGCTTATATTCATATAGTGTGTTTTGTGTGGTTAAAAACACAAAGTGCTTCACAGGAATGTTATCAGATAAAATTCAACGCTGGGTCACAACAGGAGGTATTAGGGCAGGAGACAAAAGGCTCAGGTGAAGAGGTAGAGTTTGAATGGAGCCTTACAAGTAGAGAGTGGCAGAGAGGATCTTAGAGAGTTCAGACCTGAGTGATTGCTAAAGAAGTGAAGGAATCTCGGGACACGCGAGAAACCGGAATTGGAGGAACACCAGGTCGTAGAGCCGGAGAAAGTTAGCATTTGGGATTGAGCGTGCTGAGGAATTTTAACAAAAGACATTATGCTTTGGTCGAAGCAGTAGCTTTGTGCGAGTCCAGATTTGGGCAGCGTAGCTTTCAATGAGAAGGTGGGAGATCCGCTCAGAAAGCATTGAAATGGTCACTTCTGGAGTTAACAAAAATATAGATGAAGTTTCCAGCAGTAGTCGGGCTGAGTTAGGAGTGTATGGAGTGGGGCAATATGGAAGCTGAGAGACTGGAGACCACCATGGCATTGGAAAGGATGCCAGTGTTGTGCCCAGTTTGGTTTAGCCCCCAGACAGTGTAAATATCAGCACCATCTCCAATCCCTGCTCTTACTCAGATGTGGATTTGTGTGCACTGTGGAGGGTTATGGGAGCCAGATTGTAAAGTGGAGTTGAGACCACAGCCAGATCGGTCTGGACTGCATAGCCTACTGTTGTGTCTAAGTTCTCTGTTCCCATAAAGGGAGTCAAGATGTTTTTAGCCAAGGACAACTAAATTATCACCAAGCACTAGCTGAATGTGGCTCAGCGCCATACCAGACACTCCATGGGTCCACTCAGTCTAATAAAGAGCTTCTGGAAATCCATCTTGAAGAAAAGTTGTGCAGTTCTCTGGTCATGAAAATCTTGTTCCTCCAATTAAATGCATCTCCATGTCTGTCAGAAATTGGAAGGATTAAAAGATGATTGAAATTGTTTCTGGGATGCTTCTGTAATCTAAAACTAGAAGCCCTTTAGATAACAAAATGTAGAAATAACTGAAAAAGACACTTATGTTGAAGCTATTTGTCTCGCACTCATCAGGACAATTTGCAAGAATACCAAATAAAGGGGAAAACTGACCTGTCTACTGTATGAGACGGGAGTGTTGATTGGCAAGTGGGCACTGAAGTATATAACTATATAAATGTTGGTTTGCCCCATAAATTGGTATTCTTACAAATTGTCCTGATACATGCAACACAAAAACATTCAACAAAATTTGTCTTTTTTAGCAATACTCAAATTGGGTACTGTTAAATGATTAATATATTTTCCTGCATCCACTTGAGTTTTGACAAATATTCAGCGGTAATATTCTGGATTTATCCTTCCAAATGCTTCAGACAAGTATTCGTACTATCAATGTCTGTAGTAAGAGACAAAAAAAAACTGCAGATGCTGGAATCCAGGTAGACAAACAGGAGGCTGGAAGAACACAGCAAGCCAGGCAGCATCTGGAGGGAAGGAGAAGTCAACGTTTTGGATATTACCCTCCTTCAGGACTGAAGAACCCGAAACATTGACTTGAGATGTCCCGAATATCTGTAGTAAGTTTGGTGACAAATGATTGTGTAATACCCTTTTGACTGGAGCTTTAATGTAACAGGAGCACAGGTTTGTGTCTCTATGAAGATTTGGAATCTAGTCATAAGTTATTCTTTCAACTGTAGCATGTTTCGGAGCACGAGTGTTCTCTCTGGAGTCCAGGTCTGAATTTATCCCTCAGTCAAGACGATTAAAACAGATTATCTGGTTATTTTCTTAATACTGTCTGTGGGAGCTTGCTGCACTCAAATTGGTACCACATTTCCTGCCTTACTGAGGTGATGACATTCCAAATGTGCTTCATTAGCTGTGAAGTACTCTGAAGTATACTAACATCATACAAGATATTTAATATATGTGAATCCTTTTCTTCCTTTTTCAGGTATTATTACCAAAGAGGGATCCTAGCCAAGGTGGAAGGGCAACGCTTGGTCTACCAATTCAAAGAGATGCCCAAAAACCTTGTAATTATTGATGAAGACAAAACCGATCCCAGTGCTGGATCCTATCCATCTGAAATACGAACTGATGAAACCGGTAACTTATCTGAGGTGATGTCTCCATCCTCAGAAAATATCACCTCTCCCATTTCCTCAAAAGTGATGGCAGTTTCACGAGGGGCACGGCACACTGCCCAGCAGAGTGTTGTGAAGTTGGGGAGGGCCACAACAGTGAAAGTCTCGTCATCTGGTCATGGTGGAGTCTTATCGCAGGTGCCTCCAACTTCCCTTCCTGTAGTAACCACAACAGTTCCAAGGTTAGTAACTCCTACACACCAACGCTGTTAATGATGTACGTGATTAAACTGTAAGGGTACTTTCACCTGTTTTTAAAATGATTTTCCCTTTTTGATTAAATCTTTTGGATATTATTCAAAGAAAGTGTTGTGGAAAGGTGACCCACGTTAAATTTACTGCAAAACAATGCCACTAGCATCGGCTATTTCTGTTTCTCTAGATTACCATCTGAAAGTAGATAATTATTTCAATCTGGAGCTTAGCTGCTGTAGTCTGTCTGTAGGTCTCCACTGAATTAATTGCCAATGTGTCCTCCTTTTTAACCTCCCCCCTCCATATCAACTCTGCTGTCCTTATTCCATTCCCTCCATTTTGCTTCTCCCATGGCCACTGGTTTAGCCATTGATCCCCATCTCTGGCTGCTCCTCATCAACAGCTGTGGGTCTTCAGTGTCCACTGCCACAATCATTACCACCCCAGCATCGTTGTGCTGAGTGCAGCCAACTCCTGATTTTTCCCAAAACCACCAGCCAGCTTTAATCCCAGTTTTCTGAAGAAGGGTCTAGACCCGAAACATCGGCTTTCCTGCTCCTCTGATGCTGCCTGGCCTGCTGTGTTCATCCAGCTCTACGCCTTGTTATCTCAGATTCTCCAGCATCGGCAGTTCCCACTATTTCTTAATCCCAGTTTACCGTGCTGTCCACTCTTGTCTTCAGCAGGTTAAATAAGCTTATGGGGCGACCTTGCCACTGATTTTCAGACCATTTCACTGACTCAGATGCTTTCACCAGCCCACATCTGGCCAACGTGCCTTGCCCGGTCTCTAGTTGCCTTCCCCTCTTCCTCGTGCCCTCTTCGAGCTCGTTGAGCTTGTGAGACCCATTTCCGGTGGTCCGCTGAACAGCTTTTCCCGCCTCCCCACGTCCCTATCATCAGCTGCTCTCCTTTTGAAGCTAGTCATGCCACCTCTTCCAAAGGCTGTACATCCTGCCCACCTCCATTCACAAGTGCCCTTTCCTCTTTATGCAGACGTGGACAATTTACAGTACCATTGGAGGCCATTCAATCTGTTTTGTTTTTGCTGACTGTATGCAAGCTGTATATCTTGTTCACGCTGCATCTGTGTGGATTTTTGACACTTCAAATGTAATGAGGTTTATTTTTTGCCTCTTATTACCCTTTCAGGCAAACCCTCACCTTTCTTGAGGTGGAAAAATTCCATCAACTCTCTTCCTTCAGCCAGTTACTTTAAATCTGTTGCTGCTGGTGTGGACCTGTTGTGTGGAAACAGATGCTTCCCGTCCACTCTCTCCGCACTCCTTACTTTTTTGATTTGTCGATGGAATGTGGGTGTTGCTGGCTGGGCTGGCATTTTATTGCCAATCCCAGATTGTGCTGGAGAAGGTCGTGGCGAACTGCCTTCTCAACTGTCCCTGCTCTTGGGGTGTGGGGAAAACCATAATTTTGTTCAGAAAAGAGTTCCGGCATTTTGACCCAGTGACCGTGAAGGAACGGCGATATGTTTCTAAGTCAGGATGAAGAGTGGTTTGGAGAGGAACTTGCAGCTGGTGGTGTTTCCACCGATCTGCTGACCTTGTCCTTCTGGATGGTAGTGGTTGCATTTTTGGAAGGTGCTTTTGGATGAGCCTTGGCAAATTGCTGCAGTGCATCTTCCAGATGGTGCAACCCATAGATGATGTCAGTGTGTCACTGATGATAAATAATTTTATACATCTAAGTTAAATCTCCCTCCCACTTCAAAGTGATCTAATTATCCATTTTCCAACCCAGTCTGATCCATTTTCCCAAACTGGCTTCCCTGTCAGGCCTTCCACTGACTGGCTGTTCAGTGTTTAACCAGGGTGAAGCTACTTTATTCAGTGATTTGATTGTAAGTGACCTGATTGGTTCACTGGAATATTTCTCACCTCTGCTTAATCACAAGCCAAACAGTTGGTGCTTAGCAATTTGTACCTAACGTGTGCATGGTTTTCTTGCCCCATTATGAGTAAATGGTGTCATGAGAGATGCACGTCAGTACAGGTACTGTTGTTATTAAACAATCCTGCTCCACTAAACTGCAATTAGGAAACTGCCAAATGGTGCACAAACTTGCCCATATTATTTAGAGAGAATTAGCAACACAAACATCCCCCCCCTCTCTGTCCCTTGTTAAAACTGTATTTTTGCCCAAATTAATTTGGGACAGATTTTGGAGCAAGTTGCTTAAACAGAATCGCTAATGCAACAGCGTTCTGTTCTCTGAAACGGCCATCTCGTGTTACTATATTCTCACACGTCCAGAGGCACAAGCAAAGTAAATGAATGGTGTAGGTGTCAGTAAAGTTGTCTAGACTGAAAAGAGCTGTAATGTAAGAATCAGTGATCTACAGAAGAAAGTGAAGTTGTTCTTTTTATTCCTGATTTTTTTTAAAAACTGTTTTGGAAATAACCAGTTGACCTTCCTGTAGTGTATTTCCTTGGTGTATTCCCGTAGTGTATTCCCAACGTGTGATTGTACATGGCACCCTCGCTCTGGTGAGCTGTACACCATCACAGGTCTCCCTCTCGGAGATTGAAAATGGGGAACTGTTCGGGGGAGGATTGTGGCTTGGGCCACAAACTGATATTCAGGAGATGGAACGGAGGTATTACCTTTTGAGGTAAATTTAACATTCACATATAACAAAGTGTGCAGGAGGTTTATATTGTATTTTCTAGACCTCATTTTGACTTTTCGAAATTCTCGCTGGTTAGCCTTTTGAAAAGACAGCGTTTGTGATTTAAATCCAGATCATTTCCAAGACATTATTGGCCACAAGTTATACATGTGCCAAACTGCACGTTTTGTTTAAATGTTCCAGTACAAAATATATAAGAACACCAGAAATAGGAGCCTTTGGCCTTGCTATTAGCAGATCATGGCCTGAATACCTGCTCTGTGCATGCTCCTCAACACCCTTTTATATCAAGAATCACTCTGCCACTTCTTTTAAGTATTTTGTGATTAGCCTGCACAACTCTCTGGCGTAGAGAATTCAAAAAAATTTGCGACTTTCTGTGAGAAGATATTGCTTTGCACCTCAGTTTTAAATGAGTACCCCTTATTCTGTAACCATGTCCCCAGTTAAAGACATCCCCCACAAGTGAAAATATCTTCTCAACATCTCGCCTGTTGAGTCTGATCAGTAATTGTATATCTTAGTAAGATCCCCTCCCCCACCATTCTCCTTCAGCCTAATTAATAAAGGCCTAATCTCTTTAGCTTTTTCTTGATGAGTCAACTTCATCCGGGAATCAGTCTAGTGAATCTCTTTTAAACTACCTCTAATGCTGGTTTATCCTTTGTTAAATACAGAGACTAGGGCTCAGTGGTTAGCACTGCTGCCTCACAGCACCGGGGACTCGGGTTCGATTCCACCCTCTGGTGACTGTCTGTGTGGAGTTTCTCCCCGTGTCTGTGTGGGTTTCCTCTGGGTGCTCCAGTTTCCTCCCACAGTCCAAAGATGTGCAGGGGAGGTGGATTGGCTATGCTAAATTGCCCGTAGTGTCCAGGGATGTATAGATTAGGGAGATGGATCTGGGTGGGATGCTCTGAGGGTCGTTGTGTGCTTGTTGAGCTGAAGGACCTGTTTCCACACTGTAGGGATTCTATGAACTAAAACTGCACACACTACTCACCAACACCCTGTACATTTGTAACAAGACTTCCCTGTTTTTAAACCCCTCGCAATAGCGGCCAAAATTCCATTTGCGTTTTTAATTATTTGCTGCACCTGCATATGAAATTTGTTTTGTGCACAAGAACTCCCAGATCCCTCTTGGGCTGCAATTTTTTGCATTCTCTCTTCATTTAAATAATAGTCCGCCTTTTGATTCCTCCGACCAAAACGCACGACCTGAGACTTCGATAGATCAAACTCCATCTGTCAAGTTTGTGTCCATTCACTCAAAATATCAGTATCACTGTGCAAATTTCTTGCATCCTCACCATAACATGACCGCCTACAAGTTTGGATACATTACACTCTGCACCTCCACCACCAGCCCCCCCCGCCCAAGTTATTAATATCAATAGTAAATAATATTAAGGCTGTAGGTCAGGTCGTTGTGGCACTCCACTAGCTACGACTTTCTGGCCTGAAAAAGATCCATCAAGCCTGACTCTGCCTGCAGTGTGTTAACCAGCCCTGAATCCACGAGAATACATAACCACAATACCATGAGCTCCTGTCTTGTGCAGTCATGTTTAAATGGCATCTTATGGAATATGTTTTAAAAATCCAAATACACTTCATCTACCAGTTCCCCTTCTTCAGCCCAGCTTGTTATATCCTCAAAGAACTGTGGAAAATCTGCTTTCACGAACCATATTGACACTGTTGGATTGTATTAAGCTTTTCTAAATGCGCTGCTATTTTTTCCTTAATAAAGAAAGCTAGCTTTTCCCCAAAAAACAGATGTTAGCCTAGCTGGCCTGCAGTTTTCTGCTTTCTGTCCCTCTTCCCTCTTGTACAGGGACATCGCATTAGCAGCTTTCCAATCTTTTGGAACCCTACTGGGATCCAGTGAGTTCTGGAATATTCCGACCAATGCCTCCCCTATTGTTGCAGCCACTTCCTTTAAAACAGGCCATCAGGTCCAAGTGACTTGGCTGTCTTTAGTCCATTAGCTCATCAGTTTATGAAATACTCTGTCCCTTGTGTTGGAGACTGTTATAAGACTTTTTTCCCCACTAGCACTTTGTTTATCTGATACCTTTTGGAATGCTTATTGTATCCTCTGCTGTGAAGCTGATGCAAAATATTGGTTTAAATTATCTGCCATTTTTCAGTTTCCCCCAGTATTAATTCCCCAGTTGTATTCTCGCAGGGTCTTGCACTTGCTTTCATTATTCCCATTTTATATACCCACAGAAGCTCTTTGTTACTATGTCTTGTGCTAGGGTGAAGAAATGATTTAGAATGATTTAGAATGATTTTGAATGGATTGGAGGCTGTGAGCTGTGGGAAGAGGCTAAATAGACTGGGGTTATTTTCCCTGGACCGTCAGAGCAGTAACCGTATGCAAAATCATGAGGGGCATCTATAGGTGTAGCCAAGGTCTTTTTTTTCCCTAGGGTGGGGGAGCCCAGAACTACAGGGCACAGGCTGAAGGTGAGAAGGGAAAGATTTAAAAAAGACCTGAGGGGTAACTTTTTCTTACAGAGGATCGTGCGTGTATGGAATGAGCTGCCAGAGGAAGTGGTGGAGGCAGGTACAATTACATATTTAAAAGGCTTCTGGATGGGTATATGAATAGGAAAGGGTTAGCGGGATATGGGACTTGGTCTGGTCAGCGCAGACAAGTTGGACCAAAGGGTCTGTTTCTGTCATGTATGACTCTATACATTTTAGTCATTTGTTGCTGATTCCTTTAAATGAAAAAAAAAATCGTCTGGCCTACCACTAGTTTTCACTACTCTTTATGCCTCAGCTTTTGATTGAATACTCTCATTTGCCACCTTTGTTAACCACACGTGGGTCATCCTTCTTATTGAGTCCTTTTTAACTGGAATAAATTTTCACTGAACACTATTCTTACATGTGTGCCACTACTCATTAATGACTTTCCCCTTTCTCCATTTTCCCGGCCCATTTTAGACAAATTTTCTTCATAACTCTGTCATTGTTGATATTTAGCTTGAGGACGTGCTTTGAGACCTGAGTTGCTCTACCTCAAACTGAACTTGAAATTCTACCATGCAGGGTTTGTAACTTAGGGCCAAAGTGCGAGCATTACTTTTTTTTTGGTTCTGAACTTAATGTGTGTGGAGAAGCATTTCCACGTTTCTTTTTAATAAACCTTTAAGTGACAATGTCACTTTTCATTACTGTGCCAGAGTTTGCATCAGCAGAATCCTTCCTCTATTCCTGATCATCATGGATGTTTGAACTGAGTCAGTGAGACAGGATCTGCAGTGGTCAGTGATGTTTGCAGATGATGGTAGGCATGATGAAAACTTGCCTGAGTATCTGGAGAGAAACACCTGGAAGACTAAGGTATAGGGATCGGTAGACTCATGACCCCAGTACATGAACAACGGTCCACAAGGCTCAGGAAGACCATCCGAGTGAAGGTGTGAACATTGTGGATGCAGAGCTGGAGAAAGTGTGTAGTTGAAAATACCTGGGGTCAGCGGTGACAGTTGATAGAAGTATGGGAATGAAAACGAAGCAATGGGGTAACTGAAAGGAATGAAATAGAATGTGGTGTAATCGCATGCCATTGCTGGAACTGAAAGGAAGGATGTATAAAGTGGCTATGAGACAAGCCTTGTTATATGATGCGGGAACTTGGGCAGCATTGAATGGGTGCTAATGGGCTGTGGTAGCTGGTGTACGGAGTAATGAGAAAGGACAAAATTGTGCGCCAGTGAAAATTGTGGCAGCATCAAGGAAGTAGCTGAGAGAATGTTGGAATGGCCTGGTTGTCTGCTGGGGAGTGAGCTAGGTCAGCCATGAGGGTGGGACTCCTACAAAGAAAAGAGGATCAAAACCAGATAGAGCAGTGTGCATGAGGGAGATACGGGAGTCAGCACAAAGCCCTAGTGAGAGAAGCCTGCTGGCTAGAATTACCAGCTACGATGTTCTCTGCTTGTTCCAGTAATACCTGAGCATGACTCTGGAAGGAAACAGGGCAAGAAAGGGGAAACTGTGTAAATATCAGGTTTTATGGTGAAATCTGTTAAAGCTTACCCCGTGCTGAAGCTCTGGTCAATAAAACTCAGAAAATGATCATACCAAGATACTCCAGTTCTCGTGTGTTGCACGCCGTCCCAGGGAAATCCTTCATGTTTTGTTTGCTTTGGCCGTACGGTACTCGCATGGAATGTGTGGTCACTGCCAGCAGATTCAAGGTCCACATCCGAGTACAGAGTTAATTATCAGCAACAGCTGCTTTTGGTTGTGGTCTGGGTGGTTGGTTACATAATTCAGTAAAAATAACATTTTGTTGCATCCGCAGTTGTTTTGCAGATTAAACTGCTCTCTAATTAAATATACTGTCTAAATTCAGACTCTGAACACCATTTGCTGTTTCACTCGGCCTTTGGACATTTTTCAAAAAGGTTGAGCCAAACTTAGGCTTATAGAAACTTGTTTTCTATAACTGCTGGAAGTAGTAATATTAGAATTGCTCTGCTCCTAGTTTATTTAAATGGTGTTAACAGAAAGCATTCCATAAGTATTGGTCCTGAAAATGTGTAAGAATGCTGTAAATGAGATTGTCAAATGATTTCAGAATCCAACTCTTATCAAGTTGGGGCGGAAGAAAAACATATAATTTGTGTTCTGCGACACTGAAGGCTGAGGATACTTTAATTAACACAGAATTAGCAGTGCTTTCTTAAAAAAGAATCCTGCACTGTCGGTGTTGGCGAAACCTGAAAATTACTGTTTTTTTAAAAACTTTTTGTTCCCATCTCTTTAGCAGCAGCAGAGCTGTTTGTGTTGCAATGCAGGTGCCTGTTGTCATGACCTCTTCAGGCCAGAAGTTTTCAACAGTGGCTGTTCAGTCAATGAACCCAGTTTCAACTGTAATAACCAGCACAAACACAACCATCTCTACTCCAAAGGTTCTTATCCAAACTATCCCTACAATGGTGCCTGCAACTACGGTAGAGAATGGAGACAAAATCACTATGCAGCCAGCAAAAATCATCACCATCCCTGCCACACAGATCACCCAGTGTCACTTACAGACAAAGTCGGGTTTGGCGACAGCTGGTAGTATTAACATCGTTGGAGCACAGGCAGCTATCCGGGCTCTTTCGCCTATGTCAATAGCAGGAGGGACACCTGTGATGAGACTAGCAGTGCCTGCCCAGCAGTCAACAGTCCAGAACCCTGCTCGAGTTATTACTGCTGTCATCAAAGGGGCAGAGGTCAAGCCAGAAAGCACAGCTACAAAGGTGGGAGCAGATCTTCATAATCTGCCTGTGATTAAGGAAGAGCGTTCAGTGGAGGGTAGCAAGACTGTGACTCGCTGGGTGGTTGTCAGTGCACCCTCAGCCATTGCCGTCCCATTAACAATGAAAACAGAGGCAGAAGCCACAGTGACGGGGGAAAAATAACGGTACAGCCGTTGGGAGACGAAAGGTTGCCTCAAGACTTTAAGAGGAATGTTTGTTTTCCAGCAGGTATCAAACTTTTCTCTCCCATCCCATTCTTCATGGTGGGACTTGAGCCACATCATCAAATGCTGACAAAGAAACTCTGAATAGGAACAAATAAGATTTCAGTGAATTGATATGCAATTTAAATGCATATTGATCTAAAAGAAGGGACCACATGTTTCACTACATTTTCTATCTACACTACAGAATTCTGGAAACACTAATATCTTGATGACTGGTTTGGAATGTTTCTCTGAAAATTGCATAAGCTTTAAAGCACCAGTGCTATCAAGAATTTGTGACCTGCTCCTATCAGACAACTTCATTGTAAGGTCCTGGCTATGCATTGTACTGGAGGTCTTAAGCTGAAATGTAATCTGGTCATCTTTATTGAGACTGTTCAAAAAAATTACAGTCACTGATATTTTGGGCAGAAAACTGTGAGGCTTTCTAACTTAACCATCCAATCTCATCTGGTTTTGTATTATAAATATAAAACCAATAAGCTTGAATTTTGTGTATAACTCATTCGTCCATTTTAAGAGCTATATCCATCATTCTTTAATTTAAAGCTCTCAAATGTTCTTCTTTTCCATGACATTTTATATAGTACCCCTTCAATCCCTTTTGGGTACGAATTTTCTATAACCAGGAGTTGGCCATACAGCTCTTTCCTTAAAATTAATATTATTTTTAAAGAATTTAATTTAAATTTTAATTTTTAAAGAAATGCTGACATTAAACTTTCATTTGCAAAATGGTTCATGTATGTGTTGCAGAATAGACAGTCAGCATATGGCTAGCCAGAATCTTGCAATCCTGAAGATTGTTAAATTGGTTCCTTGCAAACAAGTTGCTCGGTCTTTCAAACTAGATGCTGCATATCGTATTTCAGATGCATATCATATTTCAGATGCATATCATCCTTTGCTTAAATAACACCATGTGCACAGTACTTTTATTTCCACTGGTGCTAAGCAAATTCTCTTATTTAAAAAACAAACAACTGTATAGAATGTGAAGGACTAAGTTGAAATAGAAGTTACTGCTTTTATTTGGAGAGAGAGAGAGGGAGGTATGATGGTGTATTTTTAGTATTTGTATAATTACAGTTAGTGAGCAATGTTAAAAGACAGCTCGAGTTTTTCCATTTTAAAAAAAAAATAAGCTATGTAAGAACTAGCTTTTTTTGTTTAAAGCTCTTTTTAATCTTACAAAAAACACAGTATTGTTATGGAGTAACATGTTATTTTACGATAGTTAGAGCCAGCCAGATACATGGTTTGTGGTCAAGTGATAGACCTTTGGCTATAATCTCTTTTTTTTTAACAATGCCTGTGTCACTTTGCCTTGGTGTATGTATAAACATTTTTGCTTTTTTTCAATGCAACTTCAAGGTCATGTTCAGTCAAGCTTTGTGCAATGAGCAGTTTTTCTTTCAGGTAATTCTAAACCTGCTGACTTCAGTTAAAGAGGAAGTCTTGCCATCAGGACCCATCATCTTTTTAAAAATGAAAATTGTTACAAGAAATCATAATTAACATCCTTTTAGTTCGATCAGTTTTTATATTTTGTTTTGTTTACACAGTGATGAAGAACAGTTTTTATGTTTGGTAGGGGATTTATGGTATTGGTTAGGACAGGTATTGAGCCTGGCCATAAAGACAGAGGTACCATTCAGGGCTGGAGCATTGTTGGGTTAACGTTCAGCCATTGCTATTCAGCTCTGACATGGAACTAACTCCCTTGGATCCTGGTACTGGATTTGGATTTCATCAGTACTCACTGTTCAATAGGATTCAAATCTGAAACAAATGGACCAAAACTAGATGTTAAACCCTCCACACCCACCTGCTTTTTAAAACTGGATTCTGGTATCGAAACTCCCTCCCTTAATGATTACTGAGGGAGATTACCAGTGTTCTGACTGAAAAATGTTTGTACAGTTTCAACATTTGAAGTATATTCTATTTTGTTGTACTCTTGTTTCAAAGTGTATTCAAGTAGATTTTACCAAAATATAAGTGAATCCTGTTTTGATTGTGCTTTGGTAAAGAAATACGAAGTAAATCTAATGTCTACGTATCTTCTTTAAAGGAAGTTTTTAAAAGATGAGAAAAGTTTTGTAACTTAAATATTCCTAATGTAGCAAACTACACCTGCACCTTCCTTGCCTTCACACACACCTCTTAGAAATGCAAATTTGAAATAAACTCGGATTTGAAAAGTTTGGGTTTACCACAGGAATCAAATGAGAGAAGTTTGTTTTTTTTTCCCAAAGGTACAGCTACAGGGGTCATGGTGGTTTAAGTTCTGTAATGTGCTACACTGGACATAAATACTTCAATTCTATGTCTACAACTTTAAAGCACTGTGAAATTATCCTGAAGGAGTCCGTATGGAAACTGCTCTAAATGTCTGCTTGTCTGAAAGTTCTGCAGTTAGTGACAATTTGTTTCTTTGCTTGCATGAGTATTTTCCTTATTTAAATACAGTACATTCACCAAATATAGATGGCTGCCTCTCATGTTTACATGGGCTTTTACACAATGTCAGTTATTTTGTTTCCTGTAAGCTTACGAATGTAGCAGGAGTTTCAGAATGAAATTGATGGAGCCTGGTTGACAGCAAGGGATTCAATTTCTTCTTTTCCCCTAATTAATGTTAAGGACAGATCAATGTCCATCACCCTGACCTCAGCTGGGTTTCACCAAGGGAGAAAGAAAAAGAGGGAGAGAGGTTATGAGTATTTGTAATGAAAGCAGAATGATACTTTGGGGTCAAAACCACAGTCATCTAAAGAGCTCTGATGCCAACTCTTTCATTGGAATTTAGTAGAGCAAGCAGTGACTTGATTGAAGTATATTCATAGGGATGGGCAATAAATGCTGGTCTAGCCAAATTGCTCCGAGGGCAGTTAAGAGTCAACCATAAATTGCTGTGGAACAAAAACAAGTTGCTGGAAATGCCCAGCAGATCTGGCAGCATCTGTGAAGAAAAATCAGTTAATATTTCAGGTTCGGTGGCCATTCCCAGAACATTACTTGGGTCTCTAGATTAACAGTTCGGTGATCATACCACAAGGCCATCACCTCCCCCACTGTGTAGATAGAACAAAACTAGGAGGCATTGTTTTAAAAGTAGCTTTTTCAGGCCTTGAGAGATACTGGAACTCTGCCTCAGAAGATTGTTGTTAGAGAAAATCAAAAGGTTCTCGGGGTACTTGGAATGTGGAATTTGATTCATGGATCAACTATGATCTTATTGAATGGCAAAGCAGGTTCAAGGGGCCTCCTTCTGTTTCTATTTTAAATGTTTGTACAAGGGAAAAGTGCTGAAAACCAGTCTTCAATCAAAGATCAAAATGGCAAGAAGAGGTCCTTCCACAATAGCTGTCTTTGCTGTAGGGTGGGCTGTAAGTAATCAGATACTGTGCGCATTGTCAGCCACCTGGTAACATGGGAGACGAGTGTGGTTATGGTCACCTGCCCTTAAGTAAGCAGAGCCAGACCTCTGCCTTTGTTGGCACATTGCAGAGATCTCCATTTTACCCACTATCAGTACTTGGAATAACAAGTATCTGCTTTGGCAACTACATCCATCACATCTGATTGACTGGTTGCCCAATGAACTTCCAGCCAAATTGCCCCCAGAGCTGAGATAGAAAGACTTAAGAGTTTTGAAAAGGAAATTGGGACAAATCTTGAGATAATCAATGCAGTGTAACTGGATCTCCATAAAGCATGTGAAAACCCCTATTGTTAGACATTGAGTCTTCCAAATAGCAACATAGAATAGGAATTGCTTAACAGACAAGAGTATAATTCTATAGGCTCTAATAGGTATAGCAAGGCTTAGTTATTTATCTCCAATAATTTAGAGGATGACTTTTCTGGTTTGCTGGTGGCACAAAGCTAGGAGAATGCAAAGAGGCTATAAACAAAATAAACTGGTTAAAAGGAGTCAGTTAGCTGGACAGCTAGTTTGTGTTGCAGAATGCCAGCCATAATGTGGGCACAATTCTCACAGGCTGAGTTTATGCTCTTCATGTGAGAAATGGGTACCCTCCAGGATAAACTCTCCACCTGTCATGTCTGTTTCAGTAGAGGGCTGCCCTATAGTCACTAGCAATTTAAATCTAATAAACTGGAGCACGATCCACTTTGTTAGGGAAATTGGAAAAGCAGAATGCAAGTCAATATTTTGAAATATTCATGTATTAGAATACAAGGTGAGATAAGTTAGCAATTATAGAAAAAGGCTATTTGATTAGTGTTAGCTAGTTTCTTGGCCTCCATGATATCTCCTTTCCAAAAAGGGAAAGGAAAATGCAGAGCCAAGATGTCGAAAAGCCTGTGTAAGCTCTCACCACGCTACACTTAGGCAGTACATTCCAGATCCTAACCACTTGCTGCAGTGTTTCTTTGTGCCCATTAGTTTTTGACCCTTACAGTAACAGAAGCTCCCATCTGAACTCTAGGTTTTTTTTTTGTTGTCTTGAACACCAATTGGAGGAGTCTGTTTCCTCTAGTTGTCTGTAACAGATCCCTCATTTCTGGAAACATACTTGACCCATTTCTACACCTTCACAAACTTTAACCTAGATGCAACACTCCAGTTAAGAGGTTAGCAAAATTATCATCTTTGTTAACCTCTTAAGTCCTAGGGTCTCCTATGCCTGTTTAACTGGTTTCTCAACCTCAGCAGCCACCTTCAACAATTATGCAATGTTCTTGGAGACCTTTAGAATTACATTATTACTCTTCTTCCTACCAAACCACATCACTTAAAATTTCTCTGCTTCAGAGTTTCATCTGCCAGTCTTTGCAGACTGGTGGAACGGGCCAATGTCCACTTCTAATCTTGTTGTTTTCAGGAATATAACAAACTGATGTGTGCAGAATGCAGAAATTTCAAAGTGTAGGCCATTTATGTGAAAAGCAGTGACAGTGAGGAATACTGTATGCCTTCCTCCAGTTCAGTATGAAATTCAGCATCACTTTGCTATCATTCAGCCAAGTTTGTATTTATGCTGCCAGTGTTCCTTTTGTGGACTCCAATTTTACTGGCATGTTGATTGTATGGCACTTTCAAGACTTTTCCAAATCCATATAAGAGATGGTTGTTTGGGGCAATGAATTATGTAATCAAAGAAACCCAGCTTGTTCAACACAATTATGCCTTTAGCAAATCTGTACTGGCTTTCTCATCACAGGTGAGTCGAGGTTTTTTAAATTAAAGTCCAAGTGTGTGTATTATTTCTCTATCGAAGGAAGATAAGCCAGTATATCTGCAATTTTCTCCTTTTAGTGACTTATCACTACGATTAGAAGATTAAAGCTAAATGGAGCCAGCTTTTCTAGTAGCTGCCAATTGTTTACTGTCACTGATAACTGTTCTAAATTTTATTATACAGGGATGGTGTAGGAGAAGCATAACTACACATGTACAGGATCTTGGTGAAACTGCACCTGGAGTATACATACATTCTTCAAAGACACCAAAACAATACTTTTCTTGGAAGGAGAAAAACAGAAAAGGTTCACTGTACAGATACCGGGGTGAAGGCATTGCTTTGTGAAAGTAGAAGATGTCAGTTTTCCCTTGAGTTCAGAAGGATCAGATGTAAACAAACTGGAAATTGTTAAGGCCTTGGCAGGGCAAATTGTCATAATAGCAGATCCCTTACTCCGAGACAAATGAGGGTTGGAAAATCTTCAGATTGCTCTATGAGTGTTGTAAATACTTTGAACATAAATCAAGACAAAACATTGGTTGAGATTTGGAGATTCAAATGAAATAAAAGGGGATATGTAGATGAAGTTGAAATAGATCAACTATTCTCATTGATCAGGGGGAAAAGGTACAAGGGGCAACATGATCTACTGCTCACATAGAGTCACCCGACCTCTGAAACTACCAAGAGCTGGAATAACTTAAGATGCTTCAGCAATGAGGGCCCTGTATCAAAACTAGAGATAGAAGACCATGCCTGAAACATTAACTCATTCATTCTGCAAATGCTGCCTCACATTTTGAGCACTTCCACCATTTTCAATTTTTGGTCAACGAACTAACAATTATACTACCAAATCAAGGAAATATATTGAAACCATGTCCATACAGATTAATGGTTCCTTAAAGATGGAGTCACAGGTAGACAGGATCCGTAAAGAAGGCATTTGGTACACTTGCCTTTATTGGTCAGTGCACTGGGTATGAGAGTTGGAATGTCATATTCTGGCTATACAGGACATTGGTTAAGCCACTTTTGGGACACTACATTCAGTTCTGGTCTCCCTGCTGTAGGAACAATGTTGAGGAACTTGAGACGTTGCAGAAAAGATTTACAAGGATGTTGCTGAGGTTGGACAATTTAAGCAATAATGAGAGGCTGAATAGGCTGGGGCTATTTTCCATGGAGCGTCAGAGTTCAAGGAATGGCTTTATAGAAGTTTATAAAGTCTGAGGCACATGGATAGGATCAATAGTCAAGGTTTTTTTCCCCCCCAGGCTAGGGGAGTCCAAAATTAGAGGGGAAAAATATAGAAGACCTACAGGGCAAAGTTTTCAGAGGGTGATGTATGGAATGAACTGCCAGTGGAATTGGTGGAGGCTGGTACAACTACAACATTTAAAAGGCATCTGGATGGGTATAGGGAATAGGAAGGGTTTAGAGGAATATGGACCAAATGCTGGCAAATGGGCCAGATTAATTTAGGATATCTGGTTAGCACAAATAAGTTGAACTGAAGGGTCTGTTTCCATGCAATTCTATAATTCTGTTCTATCTGGCTATGCAAATGACTCTCAGCTTCTGATTTGTTTTTAAAATACATGAATCAATTGTTCATGAGATTAGGACATTACTGGCTAGACTGGCATTCTTCACCCATCCACAAATTATCTTAAATTTGAAATCAATATGGGGTTCTGGAAAGTTGTCAAGTGTCTAGAGATAGCATGCTGTTCCAAGGTTACACTGCCCTCCTACACTCTTCCATTGAAGATCAAAAGGTCAGAGTGGGAGTGAGAGAATTAAAAATGAAACTCATTAGATGCTGACTCATCCTTTCAGTATGTTCAAAATTTAGCAGCACCTCATCAGAGGCCTTCCCTATTGCTTTGTAAAATATATTCAAAAAGTTTAAGCTTTGTAGCTTGGGTTGTAGACTTGCTCACCAAGCCTGCATGTGTTTGGTTGCAAACAATTTGTCACTCTTCTAGGTAACATCATCAGTGCGCTTCTGTTGAGTTGTTGGTGTTCTGTCCCATTTGTTATTTATATGCCTTGGTTTGCTGGGGTGGTTGACATTACTTGTGGTTGTTTTTCAGTGGTTTGTATGAGCAGGTCCAGTTCAATGTGTTTGTTGGAATTCCGGTTTCATGCCAGGCCTCCAGGAATTCTCTAGTATGGCTGTTTGGCTCGTGCTGTCCCAATCAAATTCATGTCCTTTGAGACCAGTGAGAATTGGTAGTGTCTCTTTATTGTCAGTTCTCTTCCAATTTGGTCTATGTAACATTTTTCCACAGTCCTTGCATGGTATTTTGTATATTATGTTATTTTTACTGGTTGTGGGTATTGGATCCTTCATGATTGTCAGTAGCTGCCATAGGGTGCTTGGTTTGTGGGCTACCCCGACTACACAGGGCCCTCGGTAACATCGGCGAAAAAACAATGTATCAGCTTGGTAAGCTGATCAACCACAACCCGAACTACAAATCTACTCTGAAACCATAGAAATTAGTGGTACACAATTCCTCAATTTGCTAAACCCCTACAGAAACTTCTGGTCAATGAGACTTCAGAATTAAAAATTCTAAACACGACTACAGCAGCGTTTAATCTTCATTGAAGAGATTTTACTTGATGTTAAATTGCTTCCACTGAACCAGTCCCCCTACCTGCCTCAATAACTAGGACAGTGTACCTGGTTTACACTATTGGACAAGATCAAAAAATAACTCTCTCATCTTCCCATTCTTGCCTTTGACTATTTCCTCAAAAGTTACACTTACCTTATTATCCCTCTAGTTCCAGAAATCAAAACACTTTCACCACCCACCCCAAAAAAAAACACAACAAAACCAGCTCCCTATATTGTCAATGAGCTCATGAACCTCTTGCTGTAAATGCTGATGGCTTTTGGTATGGTAAATACAGTTCAAAGTTTCAATAACATTCATTCTTTGAAATTTCTTTAGTTTCTTAAAAGCTTAAAGATTAACAAACATTAATAGGTTAATTGTAGAGTTGAGGCTTATTTTAAAACAATTTGTAATGATAAAAGACTCTGATCAAAGCTGCCAGCTCTTAACATTTCCTGTCATTGAATGAACATGGGTCAGTAGCTCACAATACACAAAGTAGCTGTTTTAAACGTACTTTGTATAAACTTACTGGGAAAGTGACTTTAGAAATTCCAACTCTGGATTTTGAATTTCATATGCATGTTTGTAGTTAACATTCTCCTGGACAAACATTTGGTACATTATCACAAACAATAAATATGCATGTTTTGAGTTGCAGAAATAAAAAAGTTAGGATAATTACTTTTGGAATTTTTAGCTGTCAATTTCAAAATCAATTATGATAACTCATTTCATATTTAGGACTTTGCTGTTCAAAATGGTGCAGTACTTATGCATTCCATTTAGAGGTAGGAGGTAGGAGGTAGGACCAGAAGAACAAAATAGGTTGGAACTACACTGGAGACGATAAACCCTCTTTCATAATCAAATAGACTTCTGAAAAAAAAAAGTAGGATTTTTGAGGAAGATCTTTGTGCATACAAGCTTTGCACTAGATTGCACCTAGAAAATGAGTGAATATACCTGGAAAAAAGAGAGAGTCTCCAGCTGTCATGGCATTGGTTATCATTTCACAGTATTTTCCAGATTAAACTATAATCAAGTATAAAATTCCTGGCATCCAATTTGAACGTTTCAAGCATTTCTAATACAGTGCCACAACAAATCAAGTTATGCTGGCATTAAGAGCAAATAAGTATTACCATATCCATTATTTCAACACAATGTAATAGATGCTACACGAAATGTTGCACTAACTAACTTGGGGGCCCAAGTTTCAAAAGCCTGCAGGTATTTTTTTTGTTTTGAATTTAAACTTAGTCATTGAAGTAGTTACATAAATTGTTCACGTTACAGTGGTCAATACTGTCAGGGTCAAATGTGTACTTCCTTAAATTCTATTAGCTGCAAATTAAACAATATTTGGACAGTTTATCTTAAGATTACAACAGGATTACTGTAGTGTTTAAAAAATTATGCTGAAAATTAGTAAGAAAGTAGGGAATGGGGTGACAGATTTGATAGCAGGATTTTAATGCTGGAACCTGTTCTTCCTATTTCAAGGAATGGCATTTCCTGGTGCTGAATATAGGGTTCAATGTAAAATAAATTTGAACAGCTTTAGTTCAGAAAGAAATGGAAATAAGTGGGTTCAGTAATAATTGGGAACAGCAATGGTAGTGTTCTGCCACTAAGCAGAATGAAGGGCTTTACTCTGCAGTGCTATAGTGGAAGTAGGGTTCTGAATGTTGGAGAACTTACTAACAGCACTGCATACGTACCAACACCAGATGGAATGCAACTGGGGCTGGACAACAACAATGACCCTCATGTCTACATCCTACAAAAGACAAAAACCTTTTGCACTACATGGCACCTTTAACTGCACAAAATTAAAATTAAGAAACTTAAGTTTACAATAAATTTCACATTGTTTATAGCCACTTTTAACCACAGTTTGTTGTTTATATTTTGATAATTTAGTAGTTTTGGGATTGTGCATACATTTACACTTAGCCCAGAATTTTCTTTGGTCTGAGAGGGGATTAAATGAAGGTCAAACGTAATAATGGTGTGTAAAATCAGACACGACTGACCATCTGTTTATTTCTGAATAAAATGCAACACAAACTACACATTGATTGATGTGCATATAAAACCACACTCGATTTGAGACAAACTACCCAAACTCCATCCAAGAAAAATGTAGACAAATACTTTAAAAGAAATGGTCCGTAAATTTAGTGGCATTTGAATCAGGCTTTAGAAAGCAGCTGACTGCCGTTGAGACAGAAGCATTGAACAGCATTTTATTAACGATTCTGCTCTGAAGGGAGATCAGTCTCAAATTATTTACAATGGCAGTGGTTCAATGGAAGGTGGGAGGAGTGATTTAATTCACTGTACTGACTAAATTTTCACCTTTTAATAATAGATTGAAAAGGAGTCAACATTCATCAAATTGATCCAGAAAGCTAAATTCACAAATAAGCGACAAATGATCTGAGGGATAGTGGAATGATGGCAAGCGATTAGGGCCAATTTGTTCCTCTGTAGGCAAATTCAGCAATCTATTCACACAAAACGCATTCCGGGAATACCAAATGTAATCCAACGTATGGCAGCTCTCGCCCGAGGGTCGTATCTTCCATGTTGTGAAGGGGGGTTCTGATTGTCCATCTTCACTCAGTAGCTTGTACGCACTGCTCAGATTTAGACTGGACTTGGTAAACTGTTTGTAAACATCTTCAGTGGGCTCTGCATTAAAATCTCCACACACAATAATAGGAATACTGGCTCCATCAGTAATGGTTTCTAGATTCTGGAGCAAATCACAGCCTTGTGATGAACGAAATCGCTCCCAACCACTGCAGGCCTTCAGGTGAGTCACAGCAACACAGAACACCTTGCTAGTTTCAATACACCGGAGGGTTTGGACAATAGCCACTTGATTGGTCTGCAACATCCTGGCTGCTAGTCTAATTGTGGCAGTGTCAATCAATTCAAATCGTTCCCGTAGAAAAAACAAAGCACATCCATCTGGTCCATTGTTATGTTCTACATCCAAACAAGGAGATGATGGTTTGGGGAAGAATGTTGAATGATAGCCTAACCCACGGAGAACTGGCTGGAAGGTATCAAAGTAATGATCCACTTCTTGCAGACACAAGATATCTGGGTGGTAGCTCAGAATCTCTTCCAAGATAAGGTATTTACGCTCTGACCAGTTCAAAGCTTCTTTTGGACACTTAATAAAATTATCCTTCCATTCTCCAAGAGCTGTGTTAAAATGAGAGAAAAGTTGAAATCAAAAAAAAAGTGTGCCATTACATTTTACCAATGTAAAAGCCAAATTACATGAACTCGAGATGGTAATAATACATACATGCATTAGGGACAAATCACAGCTCAAATGCTTAAAAAAGTCATCCTGTTACAGCCTCAAAGTTCTATCCGTCACCATTGCTGTTCCTTTAAAAGGTAAGGTATCCAATTGTACTACATTGGCTAAACAAGCATGCTGCTTGTTCTGGTTCAAAAAACACAGTATTTGAATGAACTGAGCTCTTTTCCTAGTGGGTGCACCTGATAACTTGCTCAAGAACTTCACCTGGTAGGAAGATTGTGTGCGTTGTGAATGAGGGTGTAGACTTGCTTGCTGAGCCAGTGTGTTTGGTTGCAGACCTTTCATCACCCTGCTAGGTGACATCGTCAATGCACCAGTGGTGAAGTGTTGGTGTTCTGTCCTGCTTGTTATTTATATGCCTCAGTTTGCCGGGCTGGTTGGCATCACTGAAAAACAGAACCAGAAGTAACGCCAACTAGCCCGGCAAATCAAGGTGTAACACCAACACTTCACCAGAGGCGCACTGACGACATTACCTAGCAGGGCGACGAAAGGTCTGCAAACAAATCCACCGGCTCGGCCAGCAAGTCTACAGCCTGAGCTAATATCTGTATGAATGAGAAGAGTCACTGGAGTCTAAGCACACTTTTAAACTGTCTTAAAGATTTAACACTGTACTGTTCTGCTGTTGAAATTTAGTCTTTGGTGATGGGTACAAAAAGTGCATTTTTCCACAGTTATTCTTACAGACTGGGACAGGTGCAAAGATTGCAGTCAACTTCTTTCGTCTCCTTTATACTGCTGGACATAAATATTGGCTGGAATACAACAATCCTGCTACCACTAATTGTTAATGCAGGAGCTCTTAAAAGGCAACATTCAAAAGGTAGTAGCAGCCTTAAAGATTAATATTTCAAGTCTGGTAAGGCTATTTTTCCCCTCCCTGAAGAGCCATACCAAACTTGAAACATTAACTCTGTCTCCACATATGCTGTTAGATCTGCCAAGTTTCTCCAGCGCTGTTTTGTTTCCAATTCCCACCCTCAGAGAGTAATTTGGGTTTTGCTGCAAAAGGCCTGATTAAAACATTTCTAAAAAAGGCACAAAAGTGGTAAGAAGTCAAATTGTTAAAGCAAAGAAAAGCCCCACTATTCATAGGGCACTAATTAGTAAGGGGGGGTAGGGAAAGAAAAAAAGTAAACAGATTTGAAGTCAGCACTGATACTTCAATTCAGATAACTTGCTAATGCCCATTGTCTGGACTTGGGCATGAAGAATAATCACAGGGAAAGACAGCGTTCGACAATATTTACAGAAGCATCTTTCCAGAGGTCTAGGAGCAGGGATAAGGCGAATAATTTTAACTGGATTTCTGCTCATTATGATTTAGCTGGACAGAATTTGACTGTTACTGAATCCCTGCATTGAAGGAGGAAACTTAAATTAACTGGGATAGATCACCATGCAGTGTCCTGTTGGAAAATCCGCACAAGTGTCAGACAATAACTAGATCAGCTGTCAGACCTTTGAGTTTAGGAGTTGGGATGACATGTTGGAGGATGTACAAGCTGTTGGGGAGGCTTCTTCTGAAGTACCGAGTATGTTCTGGTCATCCAGAAGGAAGGATATTATTAAATTGGAATAGGTTTAGAAAAGATTTACCAGAATACTGCCAGGAATGGAAGGTAGGATTGGATGTTTTTCACTGCAGCATAGGTGGAGGGGGTGACCTTAGAGATTTGTAAAATCGTGAGGTACATTAACAAGGTGAAAATGTTTTTTTTTGAAAAAAGTTGTTTGTATGTTGCATGAACTGCCAGAGAAAGCGATAGATGCAGATAAGAGTTAGAACATTTGAAAGGCATTTGGATAAGTTTGTGAATAGAAAAGGTTGAGGGATGTGGATCACATGAAGGCAATGTGATTGAATTTCAATTGCCCTCTGAAATGGCCTAGCAAGCCATTCAGTTATACCAAAGTCTCAAAGAAGTGAAACTGGACAGATCACCTGGCATTGATCTAGGTACCGGAAAAGAAACAGTAGAAACAGCCCTGATAACCCTGCAAAGTCTTCTTCACTAAGATCTGCGGGCTCGAACCAAAATTGGAGAGCTGTCTCACAGACTAGTCAAGCAACAGTATCACAGTCATACTCATGGAATCATACCTTACAGAATGTCCTAGACACCATCACCATCCCTGCATGTGTCTTGCCCCACTAGCAGGACAGACCCAGCGGAGGTGGCAACACAGTGGTAATCATTCAGGTTGGAGGTGGGGTGGGGGGGGGGGGGGGAAGATCTCCTCTAGGAGTCCTCAACATCAACTCCAGATCCCATGAAGCCTCATGGCTTCAGGTTAAATATGGGCAAAGAAACCTTCTGTTGATTACCACGTACCATCCTTCCTTGGCTGATGAATCGGTACTCAAGGTTGGACAACACACAGAGCAAGAGCAGAGGATGGCAAGGGCACAAAAATGTACTCTGGGTGGGAAATTTCAATGTCCACCATTAAGAGTGGCTCAGCAGCAGTACTACAGATCAAGCTGGTTTGTTCCTAAAAGATATAGTTGCTAGACTGGGTGTGCAGCAGGTGGTGAGGGAACTAACAAGAGGGAAAAACATAACTTGACCTCATCCTTACCAATCTGCCAGCTGCAGATGCATCCATATGTCCACAGCAGTATCAGTAAGAGCGACCACTGCATACTCTTTGTGGAGGTGAAATCGTGTTGTGTGGCACTATCACTGTGCTAAAACGGGACAGACTTTGCATTGATCTAGCAACTCAAGACTGGGCATTCATGAGGCGCTGTGGGCCATCAACAGCAGCAGAACTGTACTCCAGCACAATCTGTAACCTCATGGCACATCCCCCACTCAACCATGACCATCAAGCGAGGGGCTCAACCCTGGTTCAAATGGAGAGTGGAAGAGAGCATGAGAGGAGCAGCACCAGGCATACCTCAAGATCAGGTGTCAACTTGGTGAAGCTACCAAACAGCAGGTCATTGACAGAGCTGAGCGATCTCACAACCAACAGATTAGATGTAAGCTCTGCAATCTTGCCACATCCAGTCATGAATGGTGGTGGATGATTAAACAACTCATGCACCTCAAGCTCTTGCAGAGATCTTCAGCTAGAAGTGCTGAGTGGGTGATCCATCTCAGCCTCCTCTAGTGGTCCCCAGCATTGCAGATACCAGTCTTCAGACAATTCAACTCACTCCATGTGATATCGGGAAATGATCAGAGACACTGGATACTGCAAAGGCTACGGACCCTGACAACATTCTGGCAATAGTACTGAAGACGTATTCCAGAACTTGCCGCTCCCCTGGCCAAGTTGTTCCAGTACACTTAGAATACTGGCATCTACCCGAAAGTGTGAAAGACTGCCCAAATATGTCCTGTACATTAAAATCAGGACAAATCTAACCCGGCCAATTATCGCCCCAGTCTACTCTCAATCAGTAAAGTGATGCAAGGTGTCATCAACAGTGTGATTAAGCAGCACCTGCTCAGTAAATAACCTGCCCAGTAACACCCAGTTTGGGTTCCAGCAGGGCCACTCAACTTCTGACCTCATTACAGCCTTGGTTCAAACAGACAAAAGAGCTGAATTCCAGAGGTGAGGCAAGTGTAACAGCCCTTGATAAAGGCTGCATTCAAAAAGGAAAAGGGCAGCAGATATATGGGAACACCACCACCTTCAAGTTCCCCTCCAAGCCACTCACGATCCTGACTTGGAAATGTATCGGCATTCCTTCACGGTCGCTGGATCAAAATCCTGGAATTCCCTCCCTAATGGCACCCACATCAGGTGGGCTGCAGTGATTCAAGGTAGCTCACCACCATTTAAGGGCAACTAGGGATGGACAATAATGCTGGCCAGCCAGCGACACTCATTCCATAAGATGAATGAAAAAAGTGGGACTAATTTAGTCTAGGAACATGGTTGGCATGGACTAGCTGGACCGTATGGTCTGTTTTCATGCTGTCTGACTCTGGCTGTGATATCCAGCAATGATAAAATACTCCCTAATACTACATGGGTTTGAGAATGAACATTAACCATTTTAGGCAAATAACTGGAGGCCCAGCACTGTCTATGGAACGGTTTTCCTTGAAGAGGCAGTTTTCAAGAGAGGAAAAAGTGTGTTAGAATTTAACAGTCATCATTTCAACTTCACCATACTTTAAGTTAAAATTCAACACGTGTGCAACATGTTTAGTACTGAAGGACAGACCTTGCGCTAGTATGTTCCATTGTAGGACCTTGATCGGACGAGACACAGCAGAAAGATTACTTTTCTTTAAAAGCAAAAAATCCCGCTGGAGTCTGGGTGGACGGTTTTCGAGCACCTTCTGACATTCTTTGAGGAGATCATTGGGGTCTGTTGGATCAACTGGTTCTAAGTTTGTCTCTACGTCGTATTCCTTTGGTTGTGGTATTCCATTATCTGTTACAGTTGGAGCCAGAGCACTGTACAACCTGTTGGTATTAGTTCCCATGGAACACACTAAATAAAAAAGGAAAGATGGAGATTAAATACCACTTACCCAAAAATTGATGCTTTAGGTATGTAATGTGGAATACAATTCAATTAAAGCAAAAATGCCATACAAATTTAACATGTTTGAGCAGAGTCTTTAAATCCCATTTTAAAAACAGAACACATTGTCTAAGTTCAGTTCCAGTATTTTCTTGAGGCCATTGACTGCTACAGCTCTTTTGACATTTTCTGCAGCCTTTAGCAAGCCTGACCCTCAAAAGAGAAAAAGACAAATTATATATAAAGGAACAGCTTTTACAGTATGTTTCTCTCCCATTGCTTGGGGCATCATATCACAGGGCCAATGACTGGCAATAACATTTATCACTAGCCATTTTTAACCCGTGCATACATGCACCATTGAATGCAACATTGTTAGATCTTCTCCAATGGTTCATTTGATGAACCTACCACATTGTAGAGTACTGAACTATGCAAAGCAGCAATAGTGAGTCACAAGCAAACTGACCCAGGATGAATGATGAGAGAGTCGAATGCAACCTTCAAAAAAAGATTAGCAAGAGAGAAATGGTCGGAGATTCTGGGAGGATTGCTGCTATTACTGAAGAAATTAGAAGCTGCATTGTTGGGACAGGTTTTATTTGAAACACCTTTTCTCTCTTCCCCCAACAAATAGACAGCTGGAGGAAGTACACCACATAGATTACAGTCAAGATGGAATGAAGACAGTTTTATTCTCCCTGGTTTGCTCAACACCTTAGAACTTAGAACCCCTAGAGGCCATTTGGCCCAATGAATCTGCACCAACCGCCTGAACAGCATCCTACCTTATCCCTGTAACCCTGGCACAATGAAGCAGCAGCGCTAACCACTGAGCCACCGTACCACTCTGGTCTGGAACTGTTGCCAAAATACAAATGAGTGGAGGTATATCAATAATAAAAGTCAAGACTAGGACTTCAAAATACATCTAAGATAATTCATTACGTCCAGATTCCTCAGTCATTTCTAGCTGTTTTCCATGCAAGAAAATTGTATAGTCACCCCAGAACAACTTTTGGTCCTGGCAGCCCTAATCAACGCATTCTAGCTTACATAGCACATAATCACATTAATCCAAACTCTCACTGTATAAAACATGGATTAAAGAAAGGACAAAAAAATGAAACGAACAAGCATACCCAACATGGAGAAAAAACAGAACTGCTTCCACTTACAGCCAAAATAGACAGACACTTCTCTGGCGGTGTGCTGAAATGAAAGTGTATCCTGTTACAGTTTTTCAAATCAGACTGATCAGCTGGCTGAAGGAGCCAAGGCACCGTGAGCAGGTTTAGAATTTAAAGTGAAAACATCCAATAAACAAGTGCATTCTTCTACACCTTGGGCAATAAACCCTTGGAGTCACTGGTTAAAACAAAAATAGGATTATAGTCTTCATGAACATCCACACTAAGTTTGACATGACTGAGGTCAAATGTTAAACGTTCATGTTAAAACTCAAGAGTCAGATAGATTAAGGGCAAAAAAAGAGCACAAAAAAGAGGATGGTTGTGGTTATTGGACATCAGTCATCACAGCTCCAAGACTTCCTCAGGGTAGTGTCCTAGGTCCAAATATCTTCAACTACTTCAATGACCTGCCCTCTATCATAGAGGAGGAAGTGGGAATATACACTGATGATTGGGTAACGTTCAATAACATTCACAACTCCTTAGATATGGGACAGTCCACAGCCAAATCCTGATGCAGTCCATGGTCAAATTCAGCAAGACCCAGATAACTTCCAGGCTTAGGTTGACAAGTAGCAAGTAATATTCATGTGGCACAGATCTTCTTTGGTAATTGCATTGCATTTAATAAAATCCCCCATACATTCAATGTGATTCCTGTTGTTAAATCTCCCACTATCATTCCAGATGTTACCACTAACCAGAAACTGAACTGGACTAGCCATTTTAATATACCAGCTACAAAGAAATTCAGGCTAGAATCCTGCAGGGAGGACCTTGCCTCCTGACCCCCCAAATTCTGTCCAGCATTCACAAGGCTGGAGTCAGGAGTGTGATGGAATATTCTCTACTTGCCTGGATGACTGCAGCCCCAACAATGCTCAAGCAGCACAACACTATCCAGGACAAAGCAGCCAGTATCACTTGCACAATCTCCTCAAGCATTCACTCCTACCACCACCACCCCACACAGCAGCATAGACATGTACTATGTATCATGCACTGCAGAAATTAACTTAAACTGCAACTTCCAAACCCATCTTGAAGGACAAGAACAATGATACTGGGGAACACCACCATCCACAAGTTCCCCTCCAAGTCACTCACCATCTTGACTTGGAAATATATTACTGTTCCTGGTGTGGAACTTCCTCCCTAACAACGTTGTGGGTGTACACCTATATCAAAATGGGCTGAAATAGTTCAAGAAAACAGCTCATTATTTTCTCATGGAAACTAAGGAAGGAGAATAAATGCTGGCCCAGCTGGCAACACCACATCCCAAGAAAGAATTTTGCAGTCGTTGTAGAGAGTATGAAAACGAGATAGATCACAATTCTGCAACTTTGAGCTAGCCTTTGTGTCAGAGGCCCATGGAGATATGGCATGTCAGCATCTATATAAAAAAACACCACTAACATTTCTAACCAGCCTGCCTTGTTCCTGTTTTTGTTCTAGCCAGAACTCCTTTCCCTTCTAACCAGAGACAGTAACTCTTAGGAGTTTAATTCTGGTATAAATGGTATTCTGTATCTCATAGGTAATCCTTTTGTTAAAAAAAGGCTATTTTCATTTTGTGAAAAAACCTGAAGAACTCTGCAGTGTGGAGATTCTGCACTTGAATCTGTTTAACTTGTGTTGAAAAGAAAAAAAAAGGACAATCTTCCTGAACGCACATTTGGACTAATTAGCATATAGCCAAAAAGTATGAGAGATATTCCAACTCACAGCAAATAGATGCCATCTTTAATTTAATACAATAGGAATGTCTACAATTGTTTGAGCCCATGTAAAAAATATTTTGCAATCTGCAAAGAACCTTGGGGAAACAAAATACTGACTTGTACGACCGAATTGGCCCTAGTCAAAATGTACCAGTGCATTAAAACTTCAAGTAGGAAACATAGCTACTTCAATTTACAGACAGGAACATCCCACAAACAGAGTTAAGTGTGTTGCATTGATGTTGGTAAAGAGCCAAATACAGGCCGGGATACTAGATAAACTTCACACTATCTTCAAAAGTGTCAGGAGACCTGTTAAGTTTTTACAAGATAAGTATCATATTAACAGCATACTAAGAACAAGAAAGAGGAGTATGCTGTTTTGCCTTTTAAACACGCACTGCCTATCATTAAGATCACAGCTGAAACTGATATTTGGTGTCCATTTATTCTGTAACTACATCCCTAGTTTGATTCCCTCACTAGTGGAAATGTCATTTCAGCATCTACCATATCAAGCCCCCTTGGAATTTTGTATGTTTCAATAAGTTCACCCTTCATTTTTCTAAACTGTAATGAATAAAGGCCTGGTCTAAATAGCTATTCACGATTAGTCAATTCCTTTATCCCATCAACCAACCTGGTTCAAACAATTTTCACTACCTCCAATGCTAGTACATCCTTTAAGTACAAGGACCAAAGCTGTACACAGTACTCCAGGTGCAACCTCACCAACACCCTCTATAGTTGTTTTTCAACTCCAAATCCCTGCAATAGAGGTGAAATTGCATTTATTAAACTTAATTATTTGTTACATGTGCATGAAAACACTTTTACACACAACACTCAGACTCCCCTATACTGCACTTTGAGTTTCTCTCCAATTAAAAAGTCTGTTGTTTGATTATTCCTACCAAAATGCCATACCCCATCACTCTACTGATGATTGACTGTAGTTTGACAACGTAGTAAAATGGATGAATTTAATTTCCCTGCTTTTGTCCACATCGCCGAGAAGATACCAGCATTGCAGTTGCATTGGAACAGCTTGACTACAGACGCAGCTACTACTTTTTCTAAAAGTATTCAATACCTTCAGTCACTTCTTCATGTGAGGAATGAATTGCAATGACTGGAGAGTGGCATCCGAGATGCAAAGGACTCTGGAGGAGGCACAGCTGGATCATCCATATGACACTTCTGGCTGAAACTGTTGCAAGTGTTTCATTCTTATCTTCTGCACTGGAGTGCTAGTTGATCCACAACATAAGGACTATTGTGGAGGCTCCAGCTCCAGCACTTATTTAAGCACCCACCATCATTCACAACCAGGACTAGAGATTCTTGGATTTGATCTGCTGGCTGTGGAATTGCCCAGTTTTATCATTTGATGCTGATGCTATTGCTATTTAGTTCTCAACCTGTCCTATATTGTAGTTCCACCAAGATGACACCTTATTTTTAGGTCTGCCCATAGAACATAGAACGTTACAGCACAGTACAGGCCCTTCGGCTGACCTGTGAAACCAATCTGAAGCTCATCTAACCTAAACTATTCCATTATCATCCATATGTTTATCCAATGACCATTTAAATGCCCTTAAAGTTGGCGAGTCTACTACTTTTGCAGGCAGGGCATTCCACGCCCTTACTACTGCTTGCATGGCTTTGTTGATGGTCATATCTCATGGTATGAGGTTACCAACGACAGTGAAACACAATTTTGCTGCTGACAGCCTACAGAGCATCATGCATACCAAGCTGAGTTGCTAGATCAGACTGAAATTTATCCCGTTTAGTAGTTGTAGTGCCATAACACATTGGAGGCTACCCTCAATAAAGATGGGTTTTTTTTGTCTCCGCAAGGACTACATGGTGGTCACTCCCATTCGTGTGTCATGGGCAGATGTTTGAGGCAAACAGATTGGTGAAGATGAGGTCAAGTGTATTTGCCCAACTGTTGGTTCCCCTTCAACTGCTAGGCTGGATCTGCAAGTTATATCCTTTAAGACAAAACCAGCTCAGGAGTAGTACTATTGAGCTATTTTTG